GTGTGTTGTGTGTTATTGTTACGCGGACCGCTAATAAACATTAGGCAGATGTTCGACGTCGACGTTCTTCACGCACCAACAATAAAGTGGTCGGACGCGCGCGCGTTTTCCATTTTTAATTATTTCCAACGGGCGCAGTGTGAAAACGCTGAGGAAGAGACCGAATGCGAAGGTCACAGCAACTCATAACAACACATTATTCCTCGTCCAATCCATCCGAGCGAATATTTAACGCGGGCGCGCGCGCTGGACGTTGATTATGTACATAAAAACAATAAATTTCATAATTAAAATTAATGCATTGTACAACTTTCCCGCGGAGCTCCCATGAAATTTAATTTTTGAAATTAAATATTTTGCATCGCTGCATTTTTTTTCTTCTCCTCGAGTTTTGTTGCTGGTGGTTACTGCGTGTATGCAATTGTTAGTTGTATCAGGCCCGTCAAAATGTCGTAAGAAGTTTAGACAAGTCGTGAATGGAACGGGCGCGCATTGTTCGCTCGCATGCGATGCAAGCATGCAAGTTTGTTGCGACAACGCATGTTGGTAAACTAGCGATAAACGTTTCTATGAGTGCCGCTCGTGCCGCAAAACGCAAACGCATTCAAACGTCGCGCGCGAACTAAACACAAGCGCAAGCGACCGGGCGCAGGATGCGTTCCTTCCGGCGTCGCCGTCTTCGGGATCACAGGAGCGGCGGCGGCAGGTCCTTCACAGTTTCGTAATCTGTACGCTTCGCTTCGGCTGGCAGTAAATCCATTGGTGGCGTTCCTGCACGTTTAGGTGCGCTCATGAATACCGTATAAGTTGAGCGAGAGTTATGAAAACAAGCGGAGTTATCTATCCGGCGTCGTGTATTTGCATTATCCGGACGATACCAAACATCCGCGACGAGCGACACTCAATTTGCAGCGTAAATAAAGCGCGCAGGTTGCGCAAAAACGCCGGCCGCGTTGCTCCCAGCAGCATTCGCACTTAAGCAAAGTTTAATGGCTTAAGTTGCTGCGGGATGCCCTGAACGATAGAGTAGCAAACTTGCACATTTACTGTTAAATTGCTAAATGACCGCCGGAATGAACTGCGTCGCAGAGAAAGCGCGCGCGGCGAAGATATCGCGGACATGCGGACACCACGCTACAACACGATTAACCTGCAGTACAGACCACTGCTCGACGAACAAAAGATCAGAAATTACTTAAACCTTACTCAAATAATATAATTTGATTAAAAACCAATGCTTTGAGTTACGGTACAAGCACTGAACACGACGCATGCGCATTAAAATACATTGCAGAACACAGACGTAATTTGACTAATGCTTTTGACATTTAGAAAATGTATCTACATCCAATACAAACCACATCTTTTATGTTTCCAGCCAGCTGAGAAGAGGAAATGAGTCCCACGTCTTGTTATTTATCTAGCTAAGCTACATCGATGCAGATGCAACAGAAGAAGAGCGAGATACACTGCGCAGCGCCAACTCAGCACAATCGGCGTAATACATCTGCGCAAAAAGCAGCTTTCTAATCGACGTTCGCGAATCCAACTAGACTTGCTGCTCGCGAGCTTGCCTTACTTTACGCGCTGTACAGTTTCCTAGCAACCGCGGCGTCATACCTGTGGAGCTAATATTACTCGAGTAGTCCTGAAGTAAGTCGACTCTGCGACTGGTTCGAATGAAAAACAAAAGTTTACTGCAGAGTGCGCAACCAGCGTACGGTAACTTCGCACGAAGTTTCCGGCGATTTTGTCACAGGACTCAAATATTGAAATAGCAAGTTCGCCCCCGCCAGCCAGTGTGCGGTCGCTAAATATTTAGCGGTCATGTCAAGTATTAGGGACGGAGGGTAATCATCGAAAGTTTCGATAGAAATTCAATAGAAACGAATATTATGTGGACGATACCCGCTTTGGCGCAAACGTTAATTAATTACGATAAGGAATTCGAGGAACAAATAAAAAAGGCCATAACGAGCGAAAGGACTTTCTTGCGTTCTTATTAATTACCTTTCGACGAATTAATTTTCGTTCGGCGTGGCGCTTTTACGAAATAAATGCCGGCGCGCCCGCGCCATTGAAACGAATCGCACTTGCTCGGAACAAATGAAATGAAATTTTCAAACGAAGTAATTTTACCAAAGCGCGCGCGCATTAACTTACGAAATTAATTCCTCAATTCTTTGATTTCTATGATTGCAATCGGCGCAAGGTAGGCACAGGCACTTTCTTCTTCCGCCTGCATTCGAGCGTGTAAAAAAGTGAACTTGAAAGAGGGGCAAATTGCAAAATAAGGCCTCGCCGCGGTATTAATTATATTTGAAGGAAACACGCGTCTCCCCAGTTAGCAAATAACCAATTAAAGGTTGCCGGCGTGCAAGATATACACTCGAGTGGAATAAAACATTTGTGCGCTTAATTTGTGCGTCTCTAATGATAACTTTGCGCACGTCGGGCCGCGGTATTTGTTAATAAATCCTTCGGCTCGTTCGTGCGTCCATCCGACCGACCGCCGCTCATGATATTAGTAAAAATATTTGTTGCTGACCCACTTCGGCGTGTTTCTCGCTCCGTCCGTAAAGAGGTCTTTACCATCCGTGTAACGCACGATCGCTGCTAATGCAACAAAGAAACCAGATACGCGATGCACAGGCCATCGACGTGCGTCGGAATGCCTCTGGCTTATTACACGTCGGCCATTCCTCTACCTATACTATATAGAATCTGTTTGCACAAGAGAGGCGAATGCGTGCGCCGTACGCCGGTATGTCCCACGGCTGCACACATCGCCGGTCGGCTGAGTAGTTGTTAAAACATTGCGACAAAAAGTGCCACACAGACACAACATGAATGGCGGAGAGTTGTGTGAGCAATTGTTGGCGATCGGCAACAAGAAAACGCAACAAGCCGGACTTGCCGGAGCGAAAATGGCCAATGTGTAGAACATCTGTTACCAAATCTGTTACGCTGTTACGGCATACGTTATGCACGCAAAGAAAACTTCAGCGGACACCGACAGCAACAACAACCAAAAAAGAAAGAAGCGGTGGCGATTCAGTGGATTCAGGAAACATGAACAACACGCCACCCGACGCGACTTGTATGTGTGCCCTGTGTAAATATGCTTTTTGCGTTTTGTTTAGGGAAATGCCAGCCGGAATTTATTTACCAAACAAACGCCAACTGTGAAGAAATATGAAAACATCGATTTTCCAGCGCGCTGGTGCTCATAAAGTGCCCAAAAACAAGTCGTTACTTCACACGGCCCTTCAACTGACACAACACGCCGTCCGTGTGTCTGTCTTATTGCGAAATTTAAACATTGTCCGCCATTCGAGCAAGAGAGAGAGAGAGATATAAATAAATTTCATATTCAAAACATGCGTCGCGAGTTATTCCTGTCGCTTCACTCATTTACCATGTCGTGTGTCCCACACAGGCGCATTTATCTTGGCTAGCGATCTCACGTGATATCGAATTTTTATTTTTATGGTATCAATGCGACACATAAACCAGCGAATACGCACACTCACCTAGGTCTATCTGTGTCGACAGCGCATTTCCACGTACGCACGCTGGACATTATTGAATAATGCACTGAACAGAAACTTTCATGGTAGCATGCATGACTGGATTACAAATCGTGCATAGTTATGACACAAAATAATCCAAAATGAGCTTTCTTCATCTTCGTCCTCGATGCGGGCCTTCTGCGTATCCAATTTGGGCTGCACTGCATTGCACTGATTTCGATGACAATTGGAAGCAATTTCGAGCAAACGAATTCAGAACAGATTCAATAATGTGTGTGCGAGGTAAAAATTTCGATATCGCGCATGAGATGCAAGCAGAAATTTCTCTAAGAATCAGTAAGGAAACAAGGACAAACGCATAACATTTGATTTTCGTCACGCTGGGGCGCAATTTTTGTCATATGTTTTGGTAATGCGGTGAGGCCGAAGCGGCAACGGGGCGACGAAAGCTTGAAATTCGGTATGCGTGAGCGGCGCGAGTTGAGTTATAAAACTCGGTCGTCAGCTCGATTGCGCATTACGCCGTAAGCCCATCCGCATAAGCTGGCGGAGAGCATGCCACTGATGCGGGCAGATAAACCCGGGGACGCTTCAGCTAAATGTTTCGCATGTAAATTATAAAAATGGTATCATCGGCTCGGGCGAGCGCAGCAGCAGTGGGCCACATCCGTTTTTATGGCGCCACGAACTTCGATGCGCATGCGGCGCTGATTACGCGACGCTTTTATTATTGCAGAAGTAACCACCGTGTGGTGGATGATAATAAGACGAGTGTGAAACGACAGCGGACTTCAAACATGGCGAATGTCGCGATGAAAAACGTGGAAGCAACAAACGAAACAAAACAGCAGCTGATGATGATGATATAATAGAATGAAAAAAAAAACTGATATAATTACGAAAACATCTGCGACCATGGTTATGACTACGCACTGAACCGAATCCTTTGTTGATTCAAATGTCTCTAGTAATATTTCACAAACAACGCGACGCATAAAAGTGTAAAGTTCGTTCGATTGCCGGGCAAAACGAAGAAAGTTTCACTTTTTGTTTAATTAATTAATATGTGTGAAACATTGCCGTATGAGTGGTCGGAGACAAACGTGATCAAACCGAGTGGTACGAGGATTCTGGTCATGTCCGGAATTACCCGAAAATTGCATTGAAAGCGGCGCAATCTGAAGAAACGCTCGGAATTAAGTTGCGCGACCGACTTGATGTACTCCCGCACTCGGAGAGGAGCGCATAAACATAAATTATTGCTTCGAGATTGCGACGGAACTTTCACTAAATTGAGTTTGAAAATCTTGCATTTCCTTCCTTGTTTCCTTACGGCGCGCTATCCACTTCCTCGAGATGGCAATCTCGTCCAATTAGTTTTGCAAATTAAATAGGTACGCAGTGTTTGCGCAGCGTGTTTTCGCATGCAGTTAGAAATGAAAGGAGTGTAGTTGAAGTTGTACATACCTTCGAAATCCGTTCGCGGGCAGTGGAAATCTAAATCCAGTGGGCGATGGTACCGGCACGGGGATCGCGCCGGGAGCTTGCACCAAAGGCACCTGTCCGGGCACGACCTGCGGATGGAACGGTACGATCGCATTCGGCACTAATCCGTTTGGCACTAAACTATTAGGCACCAAGCTTTGCACAATCGTTCCCGGTGGCACCAAGATGCTGGCTGGCTGTGAAGGTGGTGGATGATGCGGATGATGGGTGTGTGGATGTGGCCCGCCGTTGTAGGGCGGCGGCAGTGTTGTGTTAAGCAGGTCGGGCATTTGCGCGGCGTGAATTCCTGGACTGCCAAATTGCTGCGCGTCCACATTGGTAGCATGTATGGAATTAGGGGTACCATTAGCTCCTCCGCCCCCATTACCTACATGTCGATGATTAGCAATGTTAAGCCGACGTTGATGACGCCGTTCGCGCCGTTCCCGGCGTCTTTGTTCACGGCTAGCAGTGGTTGTCTCCGGAGGCGGGATAACTGTATCGTCTGTTTGTGCCTCGGTGGAGGTAAAGGTACGCACCACCTCAACTGCTGGTGTGGTCGCTGGCGTACTGTGCACTATGACTTCCGTGCAGGTTGTTGTGGCGGTAGGACCGCCACCTATGCTAGGCATGTTGTTGTTGTTGTTGCTTGTGGATAACGGCATTGCTTGGACGATGTTAACGTTGGACACATTATTGGAGTCGGTAATGGTGCCGATCGACGCCGTCGTGACGGCCGCGCTCGGGCAACTTGTTGCAGCGATGCCGCTACCGCCACCACTCGTGTTGAGGCATTGAATCGTAGGCACGGCCGATACGACGTTCACTGGTACCGCGCGATAGTAATTCACATTCACATTGCTGACATTTAGCGGTACCCTACTATTATTGTTACTTGTTCGTACAACACCAACACCTAACGCGTCGTTATTATTGTTGTTACTGCATGGCACCAACTCGCTAGCACTCACGGTGCCCACGGTAGTGCTGGATGTAAACGCGATGGGTTGTTGTTGTTGTTGCGCATGCACTGATCTTATTTGAGGTCCATTTAACGCAGCCGGAGTACTATGCAGCCTCTGATGGTTAAAGAGAGACACCACATTGTTATTGGTACCAGTCCGAAGGTGCGCGGGGGTGGGACTCGGGTTTGATATGAAAGAGTTAGCTCCCCGATAGGGTTCCGATATGTTCCTGGCGTGATTAGGCACTAAAGTTCGCGCGGCGGACGTGGGCGCTATCGTGAGCGTCGCTGGGACCGAATTCTGCCTGGGATGGTTGTGCGGCAGGCCGACCACGTTCACCGAGCTGAGATTCCGCGCGGTCGAACGGGTATTGCGCGGTGGTGGCGGGATACTAGCACTGGATGCACCCGCGGCCGCGTCCTGCAGCTGCCCGTTGTCCGTTCGCAGCAACAATAGCGCGCCGCCGCCGCCGCTACCGTTACCGCCATTGTTGTTGCAACCCGCCGTATTATTACCGCTCGTAATAATACTCTTTATCGACGGCGGCTGAATTTCGACGCGCATAGTATCGCCGGTGGGCGAGCGAAGCACATCCCACTGTGACCCCGGTTCGAAATCGTTATTGTTGTTAGCACTCGTGCAATAATGCGCCGTGCGCTGAGTGTGTGTACGCGTTACCGGCTGAGCACGACGCAACTGGAGCTCAGTCACGTTCGAACGCTGCGCGTTGACTGCGCAAGGCGCGCACCTCGGAGAGCGCAGCTCTGGCTCAGCGCCGTCACGTGAACGTTGCGCAGCCAGCGATTGGCCAAGTCGGTTCGGCCGCAGGTTATTCACCAAAAGATGTAGGTCTGCAGTGTTGCCGGAACGATTCGTGCCATTGTTTGAGGATTCAAGGCCGGACGAAGAGGAGAGACTGCTGCACGAAGACGAGCACAGCGACGTGCGGTGGTCGTAGCAGTAGTCACTGCTATTCGAAGCCGACTGTGAACTGGAACTGTATGAACTACCAGCGGTTTTCTCGCGGTTCGACCGCTGATATTCATACGGCTGCCACAGCAATGAATTCAGCGCTTCTTCCACGTCCTGATGCAGGGAATAGCGTTTTCTCGTTCGTGTCTCATCCACACTCTGACTCACAGTCGTAATCAATGTCCTACCCTTTGCAACTTCATCCTCAACCTTTTTACTAGTCACTAGACTTGCGTCCATGGCGTTACCATTACCACAATGCCGCTTGAAGAACACTTTCCTCAAAGTCTGCCTACAGTTGGTCTTAATATCCATCTTAGGCGAACCGTCCAAGACATGAAAGTTCAACAACGACTTAGTGTCTTTTGTTGAATAGAGTCGACTCTCGAGGTTGGCGTTCGGATCGCGCCCGCCAATCGTTTCCGGTGGTCTACCTGGTTCCGGTATCTCGCCACACGCAGCCATCCTGCTCCAGCGATTATTGCTGCATCGACGATATAATCCAACGCGCGACCCTCGTCACCCCCATATTCTGCAGACAGACAGACAGAGCATAATGTGAGCGATGCGGTGGAACATTCGCTGGGGCATTTTCAATCAATACAATACGTTCGCGTCATAAATAAACGCGTTGAAAGCTGCGAACCACACACGCTCGCAAAAACAGGAAGCAGAAGTAACATAAACATAAACCCCGAGTTCAACCTCACTCTCGCGAGGTGCGGGTGAACGATTCCATTCGCCCCGCAGCGCAATCGACACGATACTCGCGCGCACCCCCCCGTATGCTAAACCCGAACTCGAACGCAAGGCGCACGTAATGGGAGACCTTAATGGACCTTCGATGCATCGCCAGTCACGAATTAGAAGATCGCAGATCCTAGGGGCCGGAAAAAAGATGCGGGATCGCAGTCGATAAGAGAATTTGAAATTCAGATAAAACGAGGAGGGTGCATAATTGGATCAGGCTGGGCTATCGAGTAAACACGCTGAGCAAATAAGAAATGTTTTGGTTTCGCAATGCTTCTGATAACAGAGAATGAAAAGAAACGCGCGCCAGAATAACAAATCACTTTCTTCGGCGCTATTTAGACAGGCGAGTGAAATATAGCGCACTATCAGTTGAATCACCAATAGGTGACACATCGAAAACACCAGCGATAACAATATTTTACAGTCGGCGATAGAAGGAAAATAAAAATAGAATTTGTCATAATGAGACAGCGGAGGAGACCGCAGCCAAAAATGACGAGCGCGTCGCAGATAATGCATTTACGTCGCATTTATAACAATCACCACCATAAATCATTGCGCCGAATGAGCGACGCTGTGCAAGTTCGAACTTTCCTCGGGGTATGCACTCGGAAAATGCACGCGCATGAAACGATAAAGACGAAATCTCGTGCGCCCGAAAACAAGTCGCACGTTTGCAGCCGGGCTGATACAGAAATAGATTTTCCTACGATGTAAGTTTGTCTTCCGAAACTGCATTTCGTCGTCGGGCGGGATAGCGAAATAACGTAGATGTTTGGAGCTGCGCGAGCGACGTGCCGCGGCCAAAGGAAGTGGAAGAAGATGTAAATCGTAACGTAATCGTTTTATGCACGGTCCAAAAGTACAATTGAAAACACGCGCGCCGGCGACGACGGGGCAGGCGATAAAAAAACGACGCAGCAAAGTAAAGACAATAACAATCAGTTTTTATGCGAACTTCGGCTCACTGAAGACGCGATTACTGCCGGAATTTTTATTATTTCTATCGTGACTTATACGGCGCGCCGTTTTTCCGGGCCAAATTTATGAAAATGAAATCTAATTTAACGAAATAGCGGCGGGTAACAATAGGAAAAGAGGGAAGTGCGCGAGCGATGAGCGATTTACATGCGGATGCCGGCAGTGTTGTGCGGATTGTGCGCCAGTGACTTTAGTAGGTTTATCGTAGGCAACCACCAGCGCAGCGCAAACTTTAATAACGCGCCTGAGACGCATCCGCCTGACATTCGATAAATGGAAAATGATGGCGCAACGTGCGCGTGTAATAACAATGTATCGTCAAAGAGGGTTTGAATAACAATGCGGAAATGATGAGGACGTCACGCTAAAACCTATCGAAGAGGGGTGCCTTGCGCATCATCGATGCGTACGTAGATTGAAAACGACGCCATACATACGAAACACCCTTAACGAAACTATTTTCCTCGGCCTGACGAAATTTCCACGAGCGTCGCATTGAAAATTATGCTCCTTTAACGCACAACATAACAAACATTCGAGGCGCTTTTCTTGCGCGTATGATTTTCAACCTGGGGGCGGCGGCAGGTGCAACTAACAAGATAAACAAAGCAAAATTCAGCGAGTAAAATGAATAAATAATGTCCTTTAGTAGGCGGCGCGAGCAGGCGCGGGCGAGTGGGTAATATATAGTCCCAGCTGGGGATGACCTTTGGGGTTGCGGGACCACGCCGCCGCCGCCCTCGGTAACCTCGCGGAGGCGATACCTGACACCGCAATACCAACAATGCACTTTGCGCGCTTAATTAGGACACTTACAGCGCGGCCGTGTTTTCGGGATGCGCGCGGGCCCTTCCGAAATAAACGGGTCTAGTGTTTCGCCGGCTAGGAGCCGACCGCATAATGATCGCGAGCAACGCAACCCCCGGCTTCATCATATTAAGGGACGCGTTAAGAAAACACGCGGAGTTATTCCGGGCTGGCCAAGCGTACACCGAACACCCCGGAACTTGAGGTGGAGTAGTGTGTCGAGTGGGAAATGAAACTCCTGTTGATTTTTGATCAGCTGTAGTGTATATGTGCACGAACGTCTACTCTGGGACGTATTTAAGACGGAATTGGGCCATATTCAACCGTATTCCAACTTGTTCAATTTGCTGCAGTAATTTAGCTCCTCCGCTCTGGGCCTGGCACGTGACGTCTGCATATTAATGTTAATTAAAAACTGGTCTAATGGTGGATCCTAGGCAAACATTTCGATAAGTTACGCGCTGGGAAAGCCCACCGAAATAATTCAGGTACGACAACATCGAGTTTTATCCGCTGCATCGTTAAAAGCACTACCGGCATAACAACGCGGCGGCGGCGGCGGCAGATAACGCGCTCGGATTAAGATAGCGAAACGCTAGTGGCGTGCGATATCGCCGGTGGGCGCGCGGAAAACCTCCGAGGAATGACACGCGAGGGCGGAAAGCAAAGAGCGCATTATGACGCGCAGCGGAGCCGAAGCCGAAAACTGAACCTGTTAGTGATGTGCGGATGGTGTCGGGTCATTAAATATTTCACGCGCAATTGGGATTTCGCAAGGTGATGCGCCCGCGGCTTGACACCCGGGGCAAAGGTTGGGATGTGTTACGTACAACATCCGAAACTCGATGTATTATTCTATTCCACCAAGTGAATGGGTGCGGTGGAGATGCCAGAATCAGTCGGAACGGATTATTTCACGCGAATGAATTTCAGAATTCTCCAACAAAGTTTTTGATTAAAAATATGAATGCCAACTATATCAGTTATACGTACGGCGTTCCCACCCTCGTTGTACGAGTACGAATAATTTCAGGTGGAAGGCGGAAAAAATAAGTTCGGTGAAAAGATTTGGCGATGGCATGGAACGTGCACGTGGACTATCAACCTCATGGGGATATCGAAAATCTGACATGTTTCGCTCGGTCGAGTATACACACCCCCGAAGGGCAAAACCGCTCAGATAAGGGTCTACGGCCACGCAAAACCAACCGAGCTCGCTTGGGAGGGCGCCGGGAAGCACATTAACAAAGTAAAAATACGCTACACTGGCGACGCCAGACAGTGATCGAGAATTAAGGCCGAAACTTTTTCACGCTCGTCGCGCATCGGCAGTGAATATCAAAAACACGTTTGCACGTGGTCAGCCTGATCCGGAATCGGACTCCATTTAGCTAATTAAGACAACCCCCGAAACTCGGCTGCGCGTAGATCATTACCAGGAGATTATCTTCAATTATCCTTATTTGCAAAATACGCATTCGCGCAAATAAAGCGGCGTTAAAGAGCATTAAAAAACAATTAACAAAGGCGGATGATACAAAAAGGACGAGCGCAACGCGCTAGTGGGAAACAATGAAAGAATCACCTTGACATTTTCACATTGTCGCTGGAATTTCCGCGGCAACTTCAGTGCACTCTCTGTATCTCTTCGGCTTCGGAAACTTTTGTTTACTTTTCCTCTTTCGGCGGCTCGCTGCTCCTTTCGCAAACCGATTCGAATTTTCGTCCGCGCTGCGATGTGTTTGTGTTTGTTTTGCTATCAACCACCGCGGATATATTAATAATAACGCGCAACTTTTCCAATTAGCGACTTAATTAATTACTTCCGGTTTATTAACCATCGACGTCGATGTCGCTGCATTGTTGGCAACTTTTTCACTTAGTCACTGCGCGGCGACGCGCATGGAAAACCGCGCGCGAAGCAGGGGCGCCAGGACGACGTTCCACCAGCGCAGCGCGGGACGCTACTGAAGCGCGCGCGAAGAGCGCGCCAGGACTAGGCCTCACTTTCCCACGTTAAGAGGGGTTGGATGCGAGCACGCGCGTATTTCATGCACCGAACTACGATCAACAACATCATATAATCCCTCGAATTCGGCACAAACATTTTTCCGCAAAATAAACACACAGTTTTCCTACTAATTTGAGTTACTGTATAAGCAGCGAACATATCCGCAGTTGCTATAACAACGTAATTTGAGTGGCAATCAGTGAAAAGTTGAACTTGGAGTATATAAAATGTTAGTGCGTTATTACGAACACGTCTTACAAATTGAATAGCGCGACGAAAATGCGAAATGTATGTCGGGGACGGCAGAAATAAAAATCGCACGCGACGTCGGATGCCGCTGACATTCGGCGTTACTGCTTTTCAAAAGAGAAAAAAAAAACCGCCTCCCACCAACCATCGACGAATTTATTTCTCGCTGACTTTTTATGCGTCCCTAGTTGTTATTTTCTTCAGCGAAATGACAAAATTCGGCCGGCTATTTGCACGCAATGCACATGTAAACATAAACAGCGCAATTTGTCCTATTTTTTCCGGCGCGCGCGCTATTAAAACGCGCGCGTAGGCGAGTATATTCTGCTTTTGACGGATAACAAATGAGCGTAGACGACGGGTAGCAAGATTCGAAAAATGATCAATCGAACGGGCTGGAGAGACGAGCGCCGCAGATAGAGACAGGCGTCGTTAGATGCTGTCATGCTATGCTAAATAGCAGCGATACATCAGAATGCATGGTTTTGGGGGCCTGCGTGCGGGGGCGGCAAGTGGAGATATTCAATGTTTAACATGCCGCACACCGACGCACGCGTAAGCCGTGGGCTTACACGTCGCAGACTGCGAAACAGCTGAAGGCGTAACACGTACCATCATGGCCCGGTTAACGTGGAAAAGTGGCTGGCGCCGAAGACGGGGGGGTGCGGAGAATATTGTAAACAAGTTTATCCGCGCGGAGCGGCAGCGAGCCTTCGGTTTGATTGATGTTTTTCGCTGACTTTCTCCGACTCGCAAAGGGTTCACCTGCCGTGCGCTGTGAGTTTCGGCATCTGCATGCGCGTCTATTTCCGCCTCCGCCTGCCTTCACCTTTTACCTTTCTAAGCTTATTTGCAATGCGTTCGGTAAACATTTTGAGGAGCTACTCGAAAGTAGGATCTGCGAGTACATATCCACATATGTGATGAAGTATCATGCCTCAAAAGTTATTCACGTTTTTTTTTTCTTCTTAGTATTACGATAAATTAACTTAAATCACGCACACTGAAATGAATTCCATTATAGAAAATGTGCCGAGGAAATCCTGAAAAGCAGAAAACGAAAAACATTTATCATTCGAAAGGAAACAATAAACCTTTTAAAAGTTGCGGTGTCTCAACGGGTTTTTTCGGGTACTTCGGGGCGGTGTAAATCAGACGCGCGCTGTCACATAAAAGAAGTGTTAAAAATCTGCCTGACCTCCGCGCCTGCTGAAAACCTCCGGCGTGTGGCGGAACGCATTCACCAGCGCAGAGGTGAAAACTTCGTATTTCGACGATGGCATCTTCGCAAGCATATTCGGATTTCGCCTTATCGCGCGCAAGTGCTTACGTCCTTACGTGTTACAAGTGCATTTCGGTTTGCCTTTCAGGATGGTTTCCAGTTGGCAGTTTAACATCTTTTCACCTTTTCAGAGGCCGCCCGCGCGTAACTACGGCCATTCGGATGGGCGGGCGGTGGAAAAAGCAAAGGCGCCGGCCAACACGAACATCGAGGACACGGAAAATCCGGCGCCTCTGCACATTGTGCGCCGTTAACCGACACGAAATCGGAGAAATAACGAGAAGTCGACGGCGGACACGAAAGAGGCAGTGCCCCACGCGTTGCAAACGCCCGCAACTAAGTACGAATGCATTAAGAGACTAGCCGGCATACGGACGTAGAGGGTGGGATTCGCAAGTCGAGTTGCAAGTGCACGATGGGTCGGGTCGCAAATCACGTCGGAATACGGTCGAATTCCGGCGGTCCGCAACCACGACGCGTCGGTTTTTATGATTTTCCATCGGCGGCGACGTGCGCAAAATTTCCATTTGCAGGCGCAACCCTTAATACCGGTTTTAATAAAGCGGCGATTCAATGTGAAGAAGTTATTTCGTCGTGCAGCGATATTTTGATGTTTGCCTACGGCGAATTTCCGTGCGGAAACGCGGCAAGAAAGCGCACCGAGTGCGGCTTTTCGGGCTTTTAATAGTGGCGTGTGAAAATATAAAAGGAGGCCACTATCCGCAGGGACCACTGTGCGATTATTTATATCGTTATGTCGCCGTGGCAGCCGCAGCAGCCGATTTCCACCACACCTTCGGAGGCGCATAACAACTAGCTTTATGAAACGTGACTTTTGTGCATTTTCCACGCCGCAGTCGGGAAAATGGGACAAATGCAAAAAGCGGCTTTAAATTGTAAACTGCAAGAGTCGCCCCGGACGCGCAACCGCGTAACTCATTGCGAACGCGACGCAAAGAAAATAGCAAACGCGTCCGAAATAATGATTTTGTTTTGCGCGTGGACACTACGAGGATGAAGCGTGGAATACGTTCGGTTTTCAGTGGTAACCCGATAACCGGCAAACTTTTACACCTCCATATCCCTGATCTGGATATATCCGAACAACCTAATCCGATTTTCACTCGGGGCGCCCGGCCCGCACCAACTCGAACACCCATTCTAATTCCGATTCGCGCTGCGAACTATATGCCAACGACATGGATTTACGTTATCTGCTAAAGGACTACTAAAGTGCTCCCGAAATTCTACCAGTGTCAATGCAACCGCCGGCGCGCCCGCAAACGTTAATGTGATTATTATATAGCAACGACTTTTCGCTCGAAACGAAAATTATATTTGGTCAAATTGCACTTTAATAAAGCGGAGCGCTTCCGTGCTTATACGCCGCGCCTGTGACAAAAGGAGAACGCTCAAGTTGCATGCACAATGGCGGCCGGCAATGCAAACTCACAGTGCATGGCTTTTGTTTGGTGTTTTAATTGACAAACGTAATTTTCCAGCATAATTGATAAAATATAGCTAACACATTTTCAATTTCACTGCGTAAACATTAGATTTTCGCGCTCGTAATCAAAGTTAATTGAATATTTAGTTCAATTAACCGAATAAACATGCGAGTGTTGTGTGCATACTGCAAACTCTAATCTTCATAGTTGAGTTAATGTCAGCGGATTGAACTTTGAACAAGTTCTTTGTGCAGTGCAGCAACAACACAGAATATATTCAATTATTCTTACCATAATATATTGCAACCACACACACACACAGATCAGTGTAACTGTAACCGACCATTCTCTTCGATTAAGACAAAAAGAATGAAATAAATCGTTGTTGAATGACAGCTGTGCCTGTCATTGTCAATGCGATGTCAGCGCCACCTCGGTGAATTCAGCAAGCTCCAAAAACCCCTGAAATCGCCACTTCCCACATCACAACTCAGAACAATTGAATTTTTTATTGACTAACAAGAACTTTTCAAGGCACCGACGTTTAATTACGATCCAAGTTTCAAGTCCGTAATTAAAATTGAAAACAAGCATTTTATTCGACTGTTTTCGAAACTTTTTGCGTGTTTTCTATTCGATTTCGCGAATTGGTAAACCGATCGCACTGCAGGCACGCACACAGCTGCTACCAAAATATCGTAGTCGGTATGTATATAAAAGCACCAAAAGAGACACCCAGAAAAAACAAAAAAGCACTCAACGAGTTCGTCTGATTGAATGGCGGAACCATCGAAATTGGATCCAAGCGACGTAATTTCGCAAATTCTACACCAACTCGCAAACAAACCTACAAAGCTTTCACTAAATGCGAAATTCTTGCGATAAAATCGCAACGAACGCACATTGCCATTCATCGCCGATGGTAAGTTATGAATTTCGGTGAATTGTGACCTGCGGCTGGGTCGAATGTCATTCGCGAGACCGCAGTTCAATCGTTATAATTGACCGCATCGAATTGTTATTAGCTTTACGATTTGATTAGCAGCCGCGAGACGCGATTGCCCCGCGTTGATTGAAATTAATGCCGCTTTTAATGAGTTTGTTGACAAATCCGGTATTTATGAAACGGGCCGTGAGGGTGTGCGGTGTGATCGCTGGCGCGTGTTGAAAGGCCCGGTGAACGACGCCGCAAAATGCCGATACGTTCGGGCTGCGATACATTTATCCCCAATTCCGCCCCTGCCGGCCGCGCCTGGACAGGTTTTTCCCTACGCTGGCATCCGAGGGGTGGACAGGGCGTTGAGTCCCGGGGTGATGATGGTGACGTTCGGCGAAAGTCATGCACTAAATAGCTTTCGATGCGAGGATTAATGACTCGGCGCGTATTAGTGTGTAGTGTCGAGTTGGGGAATTGCGAAACGCAAATGTCGCCGAATGTTTGTAGTCGTTTGCATTTGACACGACAACATACAGGCTGTAACAAAACAACAACATCCAGATGTAAATTTTCATCAGTAAGTTCAACTAACACGATATTTAACAAAAATCCCTACTAATATTATAAATGCGAAAGTCCTGATGTTTGTTACACTTTCACGCAAAAACTACTTAACCGATCATCATGAAAATTCGTACACATATTCTTAGTGGTCCCCGAATGGTTATAGGCTACTTTTTATTTAATAAAAAAATTATTTTTTAAATAATATAAAGAAATTGTTTAGCCAATAATACCTCTGCATCTGGCTATTTGACTACTTTAACGCCATCTAGCATTCCAGCAATGAAGCTCAAACCTAACTACTGTAGTACCATCACACTGTATTATCACACTGTATTACCGACAGCTACGTCAACATCAAATCCAATTGACTACACTATGGAGACTGTACACTATACTTCCATAGACTATACTTTCAGCCATTTTAAACTTCCCGCCATTCTACTTCATTGTAACTTCTTCTGTGACTACAGACGCTTACGGAAGCAACTTCCTTATTTTAGATATTCGCGAGCAAAGCCGCGGGTTAAAGCTAGTTCATAATAACTGCCTGGAATAATGAATTGTGATCATAGAAAATTAAAGGATGGATCAGTATCACTCCCGATATGATTGGAGCGTGTCGGAATCTATAATGGAATTAAACCAAAACACGACAAGATGGAAAAGGTAAATAGCGAATATGGTGAAAGAGTGGCAGGCACTCAGCCACTAACGTCGATCCTTTATTTACTTTGCAGGAGGATTGCAAGTGTCAATCCAGCGGCGCGCGCGAAGGAAAAGAAAAGAAAAACGTGGTATCGACGCGCCGGAAAATGGGACGTCAGGCAAGTGAAATATTAATCTCGTTTTAACAGAATGTTTACCGAAAAACAGACGGCTAAGAGGAATGCGACAGTTTCGCGTCGAAGGGACGAGGATGCCGTGAGGGAATGCCGTCCGAGGGTGGATTGATACGAAGATTGGGTTCGCCGAGCGCCGGCATTAGACGGCGACATGTCTAAGACCCGCCCGAAACACAATAATACGTCGGAATAAACGACGACAAGACATGGGTAACCGATCTTCTGCGCGCACACTAAAATGTGTATATTAGACATCGCCGCTAGTCTAGTAACACACTTCAACTCGTAGGCTGATCTCGCATCAAAATTGAATCAATAAAATAGTACGAGGTCTTTATCTCGCCGGGTAAATCTCGGGATTTATCTTATACCAATTTCAATATATTTGTGTGGATCTGTCGAAACTACTACGGCAATTTCCGGAGGACGAGCTGCGTCTTAATACAAAACGACTTACGAATTGTGGGCCTCGATTCGAATCTTTAAACCACAGCCGCCCGCGGGCCTGCGGCGAACGACGAACGTTTAGCATCTCGCTGGGCTTTTCTCATTTCTTTCCGGCTTATCGCGGTACGCGCCCCCGCTTTGAGTGGAGTTCACTGCGCCGGTGATAAAATACCGCTCACTACATTTACTATTGGTTAAAAGCGAATTTTCCGCGCGCTAAGGACGATAATTCAGACCGGCCGGCGATAGGTATTCGAAGACACCGGAATGACCTCGGCGTGTCGTCGTGCTTAACCTATTTCCAGCCGCCCCCGTCCACCGCCCGCCGGCCGGCCGCGTGTAATGGTTTTCCGATAGCACGAGCGCTCGTAGATTTGAGATTCGCCCGCCGTGGACGCGCCATTAGGCGCGGGTGTTCTCCTTCGGCGCGGTGTCTTTGGGGCGCACCTCACCAACGGATGCGCCCGCCGATAAATTCGACACTAATCCAATATATGGCATAAAGAGCGCCCGCCGTCGCTTTTATGCGGCCATCCGATATCCAACTTTAGGAAATTAATTAATTAAGCTATTAATTACCGATAAATATGCATCGGGATAAAAACTTGTTATAATTTGACATTACAATAACGATATAAACAGTCCCATGAACAAAATATTACTAAAACTACTTACTTATTAATAATAATAATAATTCTCTCGCGTTTTCTTAAAAAAATCGTAAGTATTGCAAATGATTGCACAAAAAAATTAAAATTAAAAAAGTTATAAAGTCTACATGCTACAAATGGAATGAAAAGTTAAAAAAAGTCTTGAACATTTTAAAAATTAGGGATCTCCATGGCGCAAGTAACGACGACCACGACGACGCTTCCTATAAACCTCATGCTCGGCCTCAAATTGGCGTATTTCATATGGTATGGTCTAAACAAAAAAAAAACATCTTCATCATGCAAATGCAAAACAAAAACAATAAGCAAACATTACTTGTCTGTGTTTCTCAAGAATCTGAATCAGACCCTTAGCGTGTTTGGCTTCCTTATAGGTGTAGAACGTGATGGCGGTACCCCCAGCCCCCGGCCTGCAAGCATACCTGATACGATTCTCGTAGTCATCGATATGCACCGGAAAATCAAAGTTAATCACATGCGTTATCCCGGGTATCTCCAGCCCACGCACGGCGGCGTCGGTTGCCAGAATAACCGGCACCTCACCACTGTTGATGGACGCTGAGGCCACATGCTGCACCTGTTCAGTCACCTCGTTATCCTCTAGAATACGTACCGCGCTTACGTAGTTCACCAACAGTTCAGAAGAGATATGATTGGAGCATTGCGGTGAGTTAGTGAATACAATCATGCGTAGATCAGGGCGCTGGGACTTCAAGTCCCTGATGCATCTCAGCAGGACCAAGAATTTATCCTCCATGTCATGATGGTGGAAGAAGACAAAGGCTTGAGTCACAGGAGCGACTGCTGCGAAGTCCACGCCGATGACTACCTGGACAGGGTTCCTCATGCAACTAGCAGCTAACTGACGCAGGTTCTCAGGCCAAAAGCAGCTGGTCATGATGATTTGACGATCTGAACGGAGTTTGGACATGGTATTACGGATGACTGTGTCAAAACCAGCGTTCAACATGCTATCGACCTTGTAGAGTACCACGAAGGACACTTCGGAGATATCGATGTACTGGGCTTCGATAAGATCATCCAATCTATCCGGGGTACCGATGAGAATCTTGCAACCTCTCTTAACATCCCGAATTTGTTGCATACGGTCACCTTCACCGTAAATTGCAACCCTACCAAGAGACAAAAAAAAAGGCTTAAAACCTTTGTTTGTTTAACTGCGGGAACTTACGCGTTAATGTTTGGTAGCTTAAATTTTACAACGAAAGCAAGAAGTTGATCAGCAAGTTCCTTGGTAGCGGTCATGATAAGCACATGTGCACCTGGACGCGTATTCAGTTCCGGATGACGTAAAATATGCGCGTAAGCCGGAAGAATAACAGCAAGGGTCTTCCCTGATCCAGAATCACTAATGGTAATCACATCTTGGCCACGAAGCATCAAGGGCCATGCTTGTGACTGCAAAGCAAGCGGTCTTGCATACCCTGTCTTCCTCAACACAAGACGTATATCGGGAAAATTGGCAAAAGCATATTTGAATCTTGGGATGGGATTCGGGATATGCACAGCTTCAGTTGTTGGTGGTATGCCTTCAGGTATGATCACGTGAATGTTGTTACTTCGCCGAAAGCTGATCACCTCAGTGGCAGACATGTTCGCCACATAAGGATGCTCGGTGTATATGTCACGGTACACCGGTGGGTACCTTTCATAATAACATCTCCCACCATTCTCGGGTAAAGCAATGGCCGCGTCCTCTTTGGCAGGAGGCACATTCGCCACTATTACATGTTCTGCGTTTACATCCGACGCAATCAATGCAGCCTTTTCCAAATTATTAGCTACAACCACCTCGGAATCATCTTTTTCCGCATCCACCAGAGCAACGATGAATTCATCCTCGGTGTACAAGTCTACATACATCAGGTGGGAATTATCTCCAGCCTCGGTATTATTATTAGTGAAATCGTCAAGTGCCTCGGCAATAGATGATTCTTCATCATGCTCAGGCGATGTTTCCTTGACGATTGGGGTTTCAGCAGGTGTCGCCGGTGGGGTTGCTGGTATTTCAGACTCATTCACGCGCCACTCAGCGCCATTCTCATCCAAAGGCTGTCTTGATAATTCATGTTCAGTACTTTTGGATCTACCGCCCCTGCATCTACGCCTACGTGACCTTCTCCCTCTGCCTTTTTTCACACCACCAAGTTCGGAGTTTGTGGTCACGTTGCCCGAGTCTGATGTACCTACCACTTCAGGTGGTGGTACACCTGATTCATTCTTGACCACCGGATGGGTTTCCCATTCCATTGTCTCAACATGCGGTTGAGTAATAGCGCATGCATGATCATTGGGTACTGATTACGAAAACACGTGTCAATGATTTAAAAAAAAAAACAAGAAAAACATGCAGAGACTTACCAGTAGATGATGGCTGTGCTGGTTCCTCACAATGGACATCACCTTGTCCAGCTTGCTGGTCCCGTCCATCTTTTTCAACGCTGCCTCGTGGTCGACACCCGTCCGCCATTTTAACCTATTGTTTCAATTCTGAACAAAAATTAAAAAAAAGAGAAATGAACGCGTGTTGCACCGACGCAATCAAAATCACGAATAATTACGAATATGCTCGATATTGATAAATAAAGTGGTAATCATTAACGGTTAATGTTACTGCTTCAAATTGCACACGCGACCTGATCCTCCAACTAACTAGCAATAAGTGAACGAGGTATTCTGGAATCGCAACGAAGTCACTTCCCTTCCCCCTTACTATTTTCGCGACTATTCGACTGCAACAGGCCAAGTTTTTTTTGTTTTTATGAATACGATTCAAAATTTGCGTTCTAGTGGATGTAGAGCTTGCACCAATCACGAATTCTGGCGTCGGGCAGCTGGAAAAATATCTACGCATTGACTTCGTCCGGCACACCACACTATCACTCCAGCTCGTTTATTTGTTTAGCATTTTTTGTTAACTGACTCGTGACTTGTTCTTGCCGTAATGCTTAAAAATCACATCAGTCCGATTTGTTTTCGAAAAGATTTCAAGGGGAGCATATTGCTGGCCGTGCATAATGTCTTGAAAGAGAATAGCTAATATCGGCATGTGACGGATTGAGAGAGATCTGAGGGGATGAGCGAAACGAACAGGATGAACAAATATGATTGTGTAGGAGATTACGCAGTGGAAAGGCAGACAACACTGGAAGTAATTAATCCTTTGGTTACAACTTAGTAAACATTCAACGCTGAAGCGTAACTTGAGTAAATACAGTGCGAGCCGCGCCGCCGCCGACCGGGCACCACCGGAAGGTAGGAACTGTTTTCGCAACGGCGTAATTTTATTTACATTACTTTTTTCCGCTCGGTGGCAGAGAGGAAAGCCGGCAAGAATAACAACGTGCGCTCATTATACTTCAATCGATGTAAGCAAATCTAAAACGTTTCGCACAGAAGAGTCTTTTGTCGAGATCATTTGTGTAAGTAAACCTCTCAGCGCGCGCAACTAATGCAGCAGAAATGCGCCCGTCCGTCGGCGTTGCCGTTACAAAAATGAAAGCCTTCTTTCTGCATAAACGTCGACATGAATAGAGAGGCGGCGAGGCGAATAAAAACGCGATTCGCTTAGCATTCGAAGGATAACAAATGCATTTGAAGGGCCGACGTCCGCTGACGTCAAACGGAAAGACTTTTTGTTTTCGTCGCGCGCGGGTAAATGAAAATTCACAAAACATGCAGACGATGATGTGACGTGCGCGCAAAGTCGACGGCGGACGTGTCCCGATAAAATTGTCCAACGGAAGACGACGAGTACGCGAAATCTCGCGCGCTGCCGCCGCCGCCGCCAGTCCAGCAGATGGTCCTTCGCCCAACTGTTACGAGTTTAAATAATGTCGAAAGTTTCGCGTGCGACGCTCGCTTTGCTTTTGCCTGTTTTGTTTCGAACTTGCATCAGCCTGATAAAAGTTGCGCGAGCCGATAAAGCGGAAAAATCTAAATGAAATATTGTCGCGTAAACAACATTCAAACACACATTTGCGGCCAATTAATTCAAACGTGGACGCTGGAAGATTTTCGACTGGTGCGCATTGGGGGAAACAATAAAAACCCGCCGCCACACTCCACGCTCCACGTGGCTTATTGATGTCGAAACTATTCCGAAAGTCGTTAGCATTTCGCGGTCGGGGCGGCGAATTTCGCCCGAGCCGTGTTCTTACATAACAACATAACTTTCCGCATTTAATCTTAAACCCTTTTAATAGCCGGCCGCCGCCGGCCCGCCCACACCCGCGTCTTTGTCGCTCTGCGGTTACGGTTGCGTACGAGCGTGTCGGCGGATTATGCGCGACCCGCCGACGACGGCGCGCAGTTTATCACGCGGAAACTGCTTAATCGCATTTAATTATGTTCTTCCTCTTTTCGCGTGCAATAAACAAAACGGCATTGTCTTAGAAAAGTTTCGCGCGGCTTTGCGGCTGCCTTTGTCACGTTACCACCGCGCCGCCGCCGAATAAATATAAATAAACACAACATAAAACAGATGTGGCAATTAAAAAAAAAACCGCAGCTGCGTTGATAAATGATCGAATATTGGCGGGGTACAAATCGCAACCTCGGCAGTAATAAGCATTTTCTACTCGGGCGCACTGGAATGTCAGAGCTTAACATCTTTGCGCGCCTCAATCATCCATCAGCGTTAATTCGGCGCCACAGCAACGCCCGAATGCCGGAAATATTAAGCGCTGTAAAAAATAATTGTGATTAATGTACCTGGCGCCGGCATTAGCGCGAGAAAGCATGCAAAAATGTAAAAAATTGATGCTACATTATTGCGTCGAGTTCGCTTTGTGTGCGCGCCGGGGAAATATAAAGGGCGCCGGTTGTTTAAGCCGGAGCGAAGAATATATTCATGCATTGAGCGAGAGCGGCGGCGGCGGCGGCGAGCGAACGTCAGGAAAGCGGCACAAAGCTTCGCTTGTTTAGCATTTCAATAAAGCCGAGGCCGCGTTTATAATGGAGTCGGACGCTGTTGGAATTATATATTGCGATGGAAGACTTGCCGCTGCAGGACGCGGCGGCGGCACAATTCTCCGCTTCATTGTGTAGATTAGGAGCGGGGTTAATAATTTGCCCCAAACCGGGCTAATTTATATAAAGAATGCGTCCGTATATCTATTACCTATTAAACTCTTAGGGGCTTCCACGAATTCTAAGTTCAAATTTCGGCGAATGTTGCGCGAATTAAGGGCATTTGCCGCCGCCACTGGGGACTAATTTGAAATGATGCATACTCACGAAATTGCCCCAGATGAAATGTACCAGGAATAAAGTTATTGCCAGCGAAAAATACGGCGTTCGGCAAATTGGATATATTTTGCTAGAAGTAGCTGACAAATTAGAGTTGGTAAATATTTTATTTTCCAATATTTACCTACCGACCTCAGAGTGAAGTCGGCAGCGGCGGGTGCTGGAAGGTGAAAAGAACAAGACACGAGCATGCCGTTAAATTCGTAATGCCTGTAAGAGTGTCCCCCGCTTTGGCAGTCTCTTTTTGCGCGCTGCTACGTCTGGCGAAAAAAAGCTGCCGATGAAATATTAACGCAACAGATTTTCGTACTTTCTGCCTCTGTCAGAATTCGTAAGCGCTAGCAAAAGTTTTCCGCGCGCGAGGTGATCGCGACGGATCGCGACGACGAAAATCCCGAAAGCGAGACGTAACCACGAATTATTCAGCACGCCAAAGTGATTTATGCGATACGCCGTCAAAGGGTTATTAAAATTACAACGTTTGCTGGTTTGCCGGGCGCGCGGCCTGCTCAAAAGGTCTAAAAGCGATCGTAATTCAATTTTTGCGCGCAAAAGTTGCCGCCAACTCTTATTCCGGAGCGCGATTAACCTTGAAACTTTTTATCCGCTCGATTTGCATACGGCGACGGGCGGCTGGGAAATTGGAAAAGTAAATTTCGCTAAATTATATCCCCAAGAACTATCGTGGCGTTCCCCCGGGGCAAGTGAGCGTCTGCGTTTAATTTAATAGCCAAATAAGATACCCGCCGACAGGACAAAACCGACTTTAAACATTGCTTTGCGTCCTTCGCTTTTATTCGCTCCAGATCTCTTTTATTTTCATATGCTTCTTATTTCCCAGTGGGCGGACGCCTCGGAAAAAATATGTCGGCCGAATTATTTCGCCGTTTAAATTGATTTCATAAATCACCGCGTCCGCGAGGCGAAGAATGCGCGAATGGAATGTTATGTAAACACGTAATATGAGCTTTCGATTGGAAAAAGCCGCGTACGTGCGTCGGCACTATCTAAGTGAGCGATTATATTGTTTATCAAACAGCGGCGATTCAATTAAGTAAAGTGAGTCTAATGGTCGCGTTTCTGATTTATCGCGAATTGATGGCATGCAATGCGCGTGGCCAGCCGGCTTTTTTTTTTCATTCTGGGCTTGTTTTCGACGTAACGAATTGCCCTGTAATAATCGCCCGCAGTCACGAAAAACGACGCGATCGTTATGAACCTCTCTTTGCGCCGCAAGCCATTAGGAGACATCAGAGGCAAAACGAAGAATTGTAATCATTTTCGGGTGTAGCGGGTGAAAACTGTCGGCTACTTAATTATTTCCAAGATGCACTCGAACCGGTTTCGTGGCGAAGCGCACACTTTGAGAATAAACGACAGAAGCAAAAAAAAACACGAAGAAATAAAATTCACGTCGACGACTTTTAGGAGTGCCGAGGGGCTGAGGGTCGAAATGACTCGAGTAAGAGGAGCAAATTAAGCCGCTCTACTTTTAATGCTCTATGCTCGACACAACACCGGCCGCATACGTGTGGCGACGGCGGCTGTGGTGGCGGCCGTTGTGTCCGGGACGCCTGCAGCCGCACAACGGCCTGATAGCGACGATGTTTTGGGGTAACGAACGGCCCTCCTGGCAGAATTACGTCAACAAATTATACTGGCCCCCAGTTCGGGGCGTTATGTGCATGTAGCTGCCGCCGCCGCCGTCGACGCCACCATCACCATTACGCGTACGTACACATAGCACGCGAGTATTGACGCCGGAGCTATATCCAACAACTACACCGGGCGACCATCCTCATTGTGCCACTTACGCCTAAGAGTTTTTTATGCGCCACGTGTAATGAAAAATATTACCTTCCAACTCTGACCGATTTAAAACCAGGGCGTACGCCGGCATAAATAGACTCTCGCGCGCGGAAAACTAGGCCGCTCCTACGAGCACTCGACTTTTCGCATTGATACTCTTCCACACTGCTAGTCCAGACAGGCAGTATCCGGGGGACAAAGAGGTCTCGCCCAGTACCGAAAATACCGAAAACCTTTCTAAGCATTCGATGCTTTTTATGGGGCCTCTTTCGTCGTATTTTACGTTTATATCCTTCCTACAGCCCCGGACAACAAAGATGACATGAGTGCGGCACAAACAAAAAGATGAGGAGAACAAGAGGAATTTAATAACAACGAAATCGAGTCACCCGAAAAAATGTCATGTGGCAAAAAGCGAAAGCGTCAGATTGATGGCATTTGCACACACTACACCGAGTGTGTGCGTTCATTTTCCAGATGCAAACAAATGACTAATTACGAATATGATGCCTGTGCATTTTTCATGCAATATTTATAGAGATTAATTTCGAAGCGTTGTGTTTTCGTATTCTACTTCGAATGCCATTAATATACGATCTTTGCTAAACAATTAATCATTCCGGCGAAATTGATGACTGTTCGCGTTTACAATAGAACACAACATGTCTGCGCGATGATAAAACCGACACTAGCAAAAACACATATTCGCCCGCATCGATAAAAACCAGCGCACTATATATTTTCGAGCTGATTTTCGCATAAACAAAGCGAAAACAAAATTATCGCCATGACAACGCGCTGACAAATGATGGCAATCAAAACAGTAACGATCACGGTCACTCGCCGATGATTGATCAGTTTCAAAATGTCTCGCCTGGCGAAGTGCTTTCTGGTAGTTCTTTTAATTTTTGGACGATATCCCCAATCGCTGGTAAACTCAGTGAGCATCTGAACTTCGTCCTGCCGAGTCAGAGAAACACCACGTTGCAAGTGAATGTAACGGGCGGGACCATTCAGGGGGCCGAAAGCGTAACCTATCATAAAAATGTCACTTTCTTCAAGTATCTTGGTATTCCATATGCTGAACCACCTATCGATGACCTACGCTGGAAGGTATCCATCTGTAAATATCTCTCTGCGTATAAAATGATATTTTTTGGATTTTTGGGATTTTTAGTCTCCCCAACCAGCACTTCCATGGCCCGATGTCCTCAATGCAACCCGGGAACGTCCATTTTGTGTCCAAATGTCCACCGATGAAGGAATCGAAGATTGCCTCTACATGAACGTCTATGTCCCGCAAATTGTACGCAGCCTGAATCTCCTCTACTTGTCCTAACGATAAACGTTTCAGAAAAACCTGACAAATTACGCGGTGATGGTGTGGATCTACGGAGGGCGTTTCGCGAACGGCAACGGCAACTACTCACTCTACGGGCCGGATTTTTTGCTGGAGCGGCAAGTCGCCTTCGTCAGCTTCAACTATCGCCTGGGCATATTCGGCTTCCTCAGCAGCGAGGACATGACGCTGCCCGGAAATTACGGCCTCAAGGATCAAGTGCACGCGCTGCGTTGGATCCGGGAGAACATCGCCAAGTTCGGCGGCGATCCCCAACGTGTGACTATCTTCGGCGACAGCTCGGGCGCTGCATGCGTCAGCTATTTGCTGCTGATTCCGCAAGCGAAAGGGCTATTCCAGCGCGCCATCATGCAAAGCGGCAGCGCCCTCTGTCCGTGGGCATATCAACGTGAGCCGCGTAAAATTCTCACTATGCTTGGTTATGCATGCCGCATCTTCGACTCGAATATCACACAAGTTGTGGCGCGATTACGTAAGGAAGACACGAAGAAGCTACGCACGAAAGTGTTAGCTATCAATGTGGGAGTGAGTTTTTAAGGTTTCTTCTTCACTAGTAGCCTGTAGGAACATAGCGTGCGAATGAATTGAGAATGACGTGAATGGGATCGGAATAGGATGTTCATGTTCATTTCAATAAAATCATTGTATTCTATTATGGCGGGCGATTTCGCGTCGATTTTTAATGGATTTTGATATTTGTAGAATGCGATGGAGCCTCTTAATGGATTACCATTCGCGCCGAGCGTCGAGCCGCTCCACGACGACGCCGTGCTCACGAAGCACAGCAACGAATTGTTCGTTAATGGAAAATTCAATACGGTGCCATTTATGATTGGATTTACGGCGCAAGAAGCTTCCATCGTCCAAGACGGTATCGTGACATTTTCTCCAAGCGTGCGCGCACACTCTAATATCGCCTTTTCAAACCTCCAACAATTCTTTTCTCTGACTTGCCTAATTGTTTACCTGTTATTCTCGCAGTCATTGAAAGGACGCGACCCTACATTGCGCACTGGGATATTCTACCACAACTGCTAGTGCCTGCGAATCTCAATGTCTCCTCGAAGATGAAGCGGAAGGAAATCGCGATGAAAATCAAGACGTATTATTTCGGTAGAAAGTTGATTGCGATGTCGAGCAAAACCGAAATGATGAATGTGGGTATTTTATTTTTTAATTCAAAAGTATTCTTATTGTTTTGAAAATTCCAGTTTATCGGAGATTCACAATTTGTGCGTTCAATCAGGCATAATGTTCAAGTGTGCGCGAACCACTCAACAATTTACCTCTACGTCTTCTCCTACGAGGGTTACATCGGCCGGTACGGCACCAAGAAAGAAGTCACCCGAAAGGTGAAAGGCGCCGGCCATGTGGAAGACGTGTTCTATTTATTTCTGAAGAGCAACATGACGACGAATAATGACTCCGACTGGCGAATCATCTCGGTCATGACCGAATTGTGGACGAACTTTGCAAAGAACGGGTGCGCATTCATCATTCTTACTTTGATAGTTGCACATAGCGCAGATGCGCGAGACTTATGCAAGACGCATTTTATTGGCATGTAATAAATCCGACATAAAAACTACCAAATAAGCACAAAAAATCATAGTAAAGCCATAAACCGTTCGGCGCGGTGCGACACTAAATGCGAAGGAAACGCGTAACACAATGATTCATAATAATTAATTAATTAATGCTGTTTGGCAGCACACCAACGCCGATGCAAGGCGCGAACATCACCTGGTCGCCGATTAACGCAAAGGATAAGGAATTATCCTACCTGGACATAAACACAAATCTAACTATTCAGAAGGAACCACGCGCGGATGCGATGGATTTCTGGGATGACTTGTACAAAGAGTACGGCTCGTCCTACTACAACACATTCCGGAAGAAGAAGTGAATCGAAATGAAATTCGTGCCGTTACGCGGATTTGCATTGAAGCGCCCGTCGTCCTTGTACTCTACGTTTTTTTCTCTCTCTCTATACAAAACTTTTATACATATTTTTTGGACATTTATACACAATTAATAAATCACCTACGAAATTATTTTATGACACGCAGACCTAGAAGCGTCTGAACTTGAATTGCCATAAGAGCAAGGATAACCGAGTTAATTATTAGCAAGTATGTGCCAAGGCAGATGTGTAACAAACAGCGTTTCGATCGCGGAGAGCGCCGACACTCGAATGAATGATGCCCGCACAGATTTATGAATATCATTGCGCGCGCGACGCCTCCAACTTCACGACTACCTCTAACTCGCTGACGCAGTTTGCCAAAAGCAGTTGGATTTCGGTTAAAAACACAAAACACGAAAAGCCACTCGCGAATAACTCGCAACACTCGCGCTGTGCTCGTCGCAAATGTTTCCAGCAGTCGTGTGTGTCGCATACTTCGGTGAAACATCGCGCGTGTTATAATAACGCAATAATTAGCCACACAAAAAGAGTCGCAACGTGCGGTGCGAAATGATCCGGCATTGCATTGTGTGGTTTTGTGTTTTGTGTGCATCGGTTGACTGTTGGTATAAATTACCATCTGGTCAAGAGGTGAGTTTAATAAAAAAAAAAGTTTTTCATTTGAAAATTTGCTCTTTTTTTTTTTAGGATGTAAATCTGCAGGTGGATTTACCAAGTGGAACGATTCAAGGTGCACAATTAAAGACAGATAGAGGGTTGGATTTCTACGCGTATCGTGGGGTGCCCTACGCCGCAGCGCCCGTCGGCGATCTGCGATTCCGTGTAAGACAAAGTTTCCGGCCGAGCGGAGGAGAGTTTGCGCGCTCAACGCACGATCTATTATTTACAGGCGCCGCAGGAAGCGCCCGGATGGGATGGCGTCCTCGACGCCACCGAAGACGGCGCGGCGTGCCATCAATTACGCAGCGACACGGACGACGAATCCGAAGATTGCTTATTTATAAACGTCTACACGACGCTGGTGAGCGCACGCAAACAGTTCAATTACTTTTCAATTTGCCGTCAATTGAAAGGAATTGCGTCCGCGTACGCAATTGGCCAATTTCAGCCACATTCGCCGTAATCATGCGGCGCAATAACAAAATCGTTAATTTAATTTAATATTTATTTATTTAGGATCGCCAGCGACGCAATTCGATGAATCTGCCGGTGATGGTGTGGATTTACGGCGGTGCTTTCGTCAGCGGACACTCGAAATCCATCCTGTACGGTCCCGATTACCTGCTCGAGAAAGACGTCGTCGTTGTTTCGTTCAACTATCGCGTCGGTATTTTCGGTAAGCTAATTGCGCTGTGATGAAACTGACAAAAAAAAACTAACTAACTTTGCGGACGTGCTGCGTGTAACCTTCTACACTCACACACGACCGGTCAATAACAATGCGCCGAAATACGCTGGAATTAAAAGAGTGATTAATAGAGAACTGGTCGGATCGCAAACACGAAACCGGTAATTTTGCGGTCGAGTATTTGACGCGCAGATATGCATTCCGAGTGGTTGTGACGCATGTTTCTCTTAGGTTTCCTAAGCACTGAGGATCTAGCATCGCCCGGAAACTACGGTCTCAAGGACCAGCTCGCCGCGCTGCGATGGGTCAACCGGAACATTCACCTGTTTGGAGGAGATCCGAACAACGTGACGATCTTCGGCGAGAGCGCCGGTGCCGCATCGGTTAGCTTTCTGATGTTGATGCCGCAAGCGAACGGATTGTTTCATCGGGCGATATCTGAAAGTGGCAGCGCTCTGTGTCCCTGGGCCATGCAACGCAAGCCATTGGCGATTGCCTTTCAAGTGGGGCATTCGATGGGCATCATCACCTTGTCCACTGAGGTCCTTATTAATGCTCTCCGGCAACAATCTGTTGAAGCCCTCATGCTCGCAGCTACAAATCCAGCAATTGCGGTAAATTCACTCTTTATAATTCCCAAAAAAATTAAAAATTTACCAATGATTTCCTTAGAATTTGATATCGCCTCTAAATGGTCTGGTCTACAGCCCAACCATTGAACCAGAGCACCCGGAAGCAGTGCTCACGCAGGGCCCACACGAACTCTACCGCCAGGGCCGCTTCAATCGCGTACCCTATATCATCGGCTTCAACTCCGAGGAGAGCGCCGTGCTGCAAGAGAGTAAGCAGGATCGTCGCTAACGATATTAACTTTCTCATGGTGGTCGGTCTCCGCGGATAGATCGCATGCAATCTTTTGAACTCTTCTAGCGGCTTTTATGAAAATGCGCAGCGGATTTGAGTCCATATTAAAAAAGGGCGCGCCCCGATTCTATTTTATAGTGCTGGACTATTTGAGGGTTTACTTGCTGAGTTACGACGTGCTGCCGACGAACCTAGTGCCCGAAGATATGAATGTGCCCAAGCTATCCCTCAATTACGTCGAGGCCGGTTATAAAATTAAATTATTCTACTTCGGGCTTTTATCATCGGTCGCCAGCAACGGGCAAATTCTCAAGGCAAATAAAACAGATCAGGGTTTCAGCACCCACCAACTATAACCATTTCTTTTGCAGTTCATCAGCGACACGCAGTTCATCAAACCAATCCGCGAAACAGTGCGTTTATTATCAAATTTCACATCGGTGTATTTTTATGAGTTCTCCTATGAAGGCGCGTTGGGTATCAATGGCGTCAACATGGATAAACCCATTGCCAAACAAGGCAGAAGCATACAAGGTAAATAATATCATAAACAAACATTTACAACACTTATCAAAAAATTCACCAGGCGTGGGACACAGTGAAGAAATCTGGTATCTCTTCAAACGTGCGAACCTAGCCGTGGATAACGATGGCGACGCGACAAAATCCGACATAATTCTATCACTATGGACAAACTTTGCCAAATACGGGTAAGTGTCATTCATGATAATATCATTCCGTAATCACCGCGTACACGAGTGAATTTTTAAGCAATCCCACACCGAATCAAAGCGTCTTGCCCGACAACGCCCCCTGGCCGCTGTCCAGCCCGAACAATGAATTCATCCACTTGGACATCGGGCACGATTTGGTCCTGCGGCGTAATCCGCGAAAAGAAGCCATGGATTTCTGGGACGAGATGTACTCCAACTTCGGGCACGGCCCGTACGACACGTATTAGAAGTTTTAGTTTGGTGTTGTTGTTAGGATTATCGGTGCACATGTTAAAGTCATCGAAATGTTACAGATTGTTAGCGTGTTAGGCGAACTTGAATAAACTTGTTGTTTCATTTTACCGAGCAACTTTTACATTGAGTCCAGTATACAATGTAACCATACAATGTATGTACTCGTATTTCGATCGAGATGGGACGGAAATAAGTAACAGGCAACAGCGATGAGTCTTTAACGGTCGCGAACGGCAGCAGGGGAATAATAAAAATTTTAAGAGTCGAGAAAACGCGTCGAAATCCTCGCATTCGCTTCAATATATTTATAACTTGAAGTTTATAACAATGTAGCGCTTGGAAAAAATGTTGCCGAGATAATAAAATGAAGCAATTAGACCTAAACGGAATAAAGTAGATGTAAAATTAAATAAATGTGATATCGATACATTTATTGAATTTCATTCAATTTATTAGATATTAAATTACGTTGCGTTCGCATGCCGGGACTACACGTACCTTCAGCAAATTGATGTTCAGAGTTTTGCATTAAAAATAAATTTTTCAATCTGGCATTAACATTATTACGTTCTGCAGAGACCGCCGCGCGCGTTGAGTTTCAAAGCCGGATCGCAAACGCCAGCGCACACGTATAGAGCTCCTGTGCAATCCTGGTAATACAGCTTCGCATTCAGCTGATTTTTGATTGAGATTAAAGTAAAAAACTTTCATATCATCTCGTTTTCAATATTTACGTTGTGTACTGTTTACATTGAAGCAATGTGCTTGTTATTTACCACAAACGTAAAAATACGCAGATTTACCCCCACCACTTTTTGCGGGTTGCAACCTACAAGAGGTTGATTTCGTGTCTATTTTTGGGTATTTTAACACCTATTAATCTAAAATTGAAAGTTTTTAGTTTTATAACGAGACTAATAATTTTTTTGTATGTAACTTTGACTTTGTTGACTTTTTGGCGAAAGTTTAAATTAGAGACAAGTTTTATTATGCATTTATTATGCACTCATACTTTATCGATCCGCCATTCTACGTCGAAGACCATAGAGAATAGAGTAAATTTATTATGTCCTAGTTAATGTACTCTTAGTCCATCCGGCGGCGTGGCCCTAAGCAAAAGTTTAATTACTTTTATGGTAATTTGCTGCAGCCTTTTTGTACTTTTTCCCCATTGTGCACAATGCCCGCACCGCGCACCACTTTATGAAATGTGAAAACAACTTTTTTACTAGCCAACTATTATTCTCCGTCAATAAAATAAACGCAAACATTTTTTCCTCCACATATCGCCGCCTCAAGAAGTAACTGAAAATTTAAACTTTTATCCTTCTGTTCCACCCACCAGGGGCCGTCGCGGGGAGGAAGAAATAATGCGAGTTAAAGTTGTATAACGCGAATTGCTCGCCGTGAAATATTAAACGCGTGATACATTCCAGCATTAATATTCATGGCGCTCATGATGGCGTGGCGTCGCGCATTTTTCATCATTTTTCTCCGCGCTGGCTGGCAGGATGTGCTAGGCGCGTAAATGTGCCACTCGCCCGTCGGATGAATAATCGCCCGAATCACCGGTGGCGCGCGTACCTGCGTCGTGGAGACGCCGCCGCCGACAAACAACGAGTAAACACGCTTTCGGCGCCGGGCGCAATCTGGCTGGTTAATCAATCATCGAATCATCGCCGTGTCGATGCCGCAACAAAAACTATATTGTAAACCCTTAAATGTTAAAATCCACGCGTTTAGATAAAACATTCGAGCCGGAAAAGAAGAAATCGTCGGCAGATAAAAAGCGTGTCGAGTTCGCGCGCGCGCGCCACGTGAATGAATGAATATCCTTTTTGTTCTTCGCGTCTAACGTCGCCAGCTTTTATCCCTTATCCGCATAAAAGGTGATAAGCGTCGTTAACTCCAACCGAGCGTAACCGTGGTTACTTGTTCAACTGGGAATGTCTTTTATTTCGCATTTGCAACACTTATACATTCATAATTTAAATTTTCACTGTGTTTTTTTACTGTGTACAAATGACTTGGCGCATTAGTGATGATTAAAAACTTAATGACATTATCCTTTTTGTGTGGGTGGGTTTTTAATTCGCAAACAATGCTAAGCTAATGTTAATATTCGGGAAAATCAAAGAAAGACGCGATACAAAATTAAGAAGAGCGCAAAAAGAGAATGCGATTCGCGTCGGTTCGGTTGGTTTTGGTCGGCGCGCCGTCGTTGGCAGTAAGTGCTTCCCCTGCCGCCGCCCGACGACACGAAGCATGCATGTTGAGGGCATAATTCACCTTGCCAACCGCACTCGCTGAGCGCGGCTAATTACACGACCTCCGCGAGCGAGCGTTCTGCTCTCTCCGGACGTGTGCGCCGCCGCCGTCGAAGCAAAGGACAGAAAAAGCCATTTCGGCCGTTATTTACAGCTCCTTTCGGAGGGTTATTTCGCCCCGGCGTTGGCGACCCTCGCCCAAGAATTTTTAAAATTAAACCTCCAAATCGCGCGCTGCCACCATCACTATTCCAACCGCAACACAACAAATTCGCAATTTACTATTAAACTCGCGGTGCGTCTAATTGCCGGCGGTCCAAATTAAGTAACGTCTAAGTAAGAGCTTGAAAGTTGCGCAATTTCATCGTTGTAGGTTTTCTAGAACAGCGCAGGGGTTCGACTTGCGGTACTTTTATTGCGCGCAAACAAATTACGCGCAAAAGAGACGCATGCAAGTGCGCGTTTAATTTATGCACCCCACGCGGACCAAATTGCGCTGGATTTGGGAATTAATGATTTAATGAATTTATGAAAAAAATGAAAAAATAATGGAGAATTATGAAGGACACGCGCGTGTTCCATGAATTAATCGCCGCTCAGTATTTAATTTTTTCGCCGGGCGAAATTCGTTCGAAGTGGATTACGCCGGATTTTCCTAATAGTTATTACATTCGAGGGGATGCCGCCGGCAGTAAATTGGACACAATGTGTTGACGCTCCGCGGTGGAAAGAAATGCGCGAAGACAGCGCAGGAAGAGACGAAACATTCACGGCGACAATGTTGCCTGAAATGTTACGTTCTCGTATTTAGGAGCATTAGCAGGCGAGCGCAGGGCATAAGTATCGCAGTGGCCCCGCTTGCGCGAAAAGTGCAACATATATTTCGCTTGTTTTTCGGCGAGTGCGCGCGCGAGTGTCTTGTTCATTCGGGTCGACGGATTTACGATGTTTGTGTCTTTCGCCGAACGCAATTCGAGTTGATCTACGTTTATTACGTTCTTCGGCGTATGACCTGCAACAAATTTTCCTAAAATGTTATCAGATAACTAATATTATCTGGATGAAAGAAGATCATGCCGTTTTTCGATGGATTACGGCCAAAAATACAAAAATAATCGGAAAAAACGCGAAGAAAACGACCCGGAGAGTTCGAGGGCGATTTAATGTTCGGATTAAAGTTGAAATGAATTAGTTCCGAATTGAACTCCACTAGGAAAGTCGCCTGAAACTACTCAGCCGTAACTTCCAAGTGTAATCCCCGGAACACATAATTCACTAAAAAATAAATCACCTCGCTTGCTCGCTTTTGCTTGTGCCTCCGCTGCGCCACCGCCGGCCTCAAGTTCAATCGCGCTAATACGCTGCTGCTGCCGCCCCCGCGCGCCCGCTTTCCAATACATTACTTACAACATAACAAGTTCGGAAAATTGCGAACAATTAACCCGCGCGGCGGCGCGCCGAAATCGAGAGTGCTCATAATTGAAGTCGATTTTTCAGGTGTAAAGTTTTGGTAGAGCGCAGGTGAGCCCCGGCGCGCCTTTTGTTCCTGCGTGCGCGTTTTATTCGCACGTGTCTGCTGCGAATAATAATGATAACGTAGTGCACCCCTGGCGGCACGCATTCGCTGATGGTGGAGGCGCCGGGCGGGCGAACTAGCGTTCGAACAACTAGTGGCCGGGCGGACGCAAATTGTGCATGCACGCGATATGCGGGCGGTTGGGAGATGGGCGCGACGGCCCCCGACGGTTAAGTTATAACCATAACACGCATTCCGCGCCGCCAGTTACGCCAACTCGTAATTGATTTATCGGCCACCGCCCGACTCCCGCCGCTGTTGTTACATTCGTCCGCGTTCCAAATCCCCGATTCCTGCGTATTTACTTTTAATAATCTACGCGATAGTTTGCGTCAATTTTTCGGAACATGTTTGTTTCGCAAATCTGAGCTGTTAGCATCGTGGGATAACATGGGATAATAAAGGATAACATAACTTAAGCTAACATAGATATTATGCCTTTGTTATGCTTTTTAATTGAGATTAACTCACAAAGCAGCGGCCCTCGGGCAATAATAACGCGCGCGTGCGAGTCGAGTGCGCAAAGTGCGAAATATTAATAACCCTCGGCATATAAAACAAATAAACATCCAGCCGGGGATAATCAAATTTCATATTCCTTCAGCATTTCGGCTCGGTAACAAATTTTTCGCTTGTTCACGATGTACATAATTGAATCAAAATTTCTCCGCGTATGTTGAATAATTTCGATTTTTACCGAAATTCACCGCACTGTGTACTTAAGATATTTTTCCGTTTCGAAGCTTTACTTTTCCAAACGGAAACTTCGCGCACAAAGCACCGGCAAACTTTTTCGCTTTCCATCGTAATCTATTTGGGAAAATGTCGGTCAATTAGGTTACAACTTCAGGCAGCTCGAATCCGCGCAAAATGCATGCAGGCAACATAACGTTGCATAACGAAAAAATATCGAACGTAAAAATGATTTTTCCACCCGCTGGCTGTTGTGTCATGGCTTATTTGAATGTAATATAACAACACACAAATGAAATGAGTATGGCACTCTGCGAGATACGCACACAATGCATAAATAATACGCCGATGAAATGTTTTACGAGATTTCGCGTTATGATCAGAACTAGCGGCGAATGGATATTGCTGGCTGCGCGAACAGAACGCGTCCGTTTATTGTCGCGTTCGGCGCGACTACCTATTACTAAAGTAGCAATAATGCGTGTTGTTTATGTCGTTTTTATGGGGTATGCGCGAAATGCGATATCAACGACGGTTAATAGGTCGCAGGCCAATAACGGACGCGGCCTGCGTCCGCTGCGAATGACTTCGTTAATAATCGTAAAATCCTTCAGCGGCGGCAGCGGGGGCGGCAAGCATGCATGTAATGCAAATTGTTTCACACGCCGCGCAAATCGCACAAAAATATAACATTTTACCACATGAACACAACAGTGTTACTTGTAAAAGTAAACAAACCAAACAAACGACACGTTTATCGCAGTAAACTTGCACAAACATGTTTTATCTCACTGCATGCATTCATTGATAGTAAGATATTGAACAAATCCGCTAAGTTTATTCTCTTTTTCGTACACGTAGCGCCACCTAGCGGTTGATTTTCGAACAAGAAGCAGGATTTCATTCCTGCGAGCTACCTGCATGCATGATACTTCAAAATTCGTTCATGCATGACACAAGTGGCGCAACGGCGCGCAAGAAAAGCGAAACGTGTAGTATTGTACAACCCTTACGATCAATTTATTAATGGTTGAAACGGTAAATCATCTCGTACATCATATAAATGAGTTCTTAAAATGACAAAAGAAGACGCTAAAAATAGAGGAGCTAAAGATTTCTGGTGTGACGATTGCTTATTCAGCGCAAACGTAGTTCGCCATCGATGTGTTTCGGGCGTTCTGTATCCGTGAGTCCGAAGATATCGCGATACAAAACCAATAATGCGAAACGACATAATAAAAACGTGTAGAATTAATAGATTACTTCTTGCCTAAGGCTTTTTGCGTCTGAGCTGTCTTCTGTTTGACGGCGTCTTCTTTCACTGTGAAGAAGATTTCAACGCTATAGATATTGCTGTAAAAGAAAACAAAAAGCAAACCTTTCTTCTCTTCCTCGCGCCTTCGCTGAGCATCTTCACGCTGTTGCTTGATGATAGCGAGTCGCGCCAGGTCGGAGCGAGCCTCTTCCGTCTTGCCTTCGGCGTGTAGCTTCTGATAATGGGCGCGCGCTCGCTGCTTCTCGATTTCTTCACGTTCGCGTCGCGATAGCTGCGGCTTGTCGGCCAGGTCCTCCGTTTTCGTCGTGTTCGTCACCTTCTTCGTCTTCTTTTGCACTCGGTTGGGGTTCTCAATTTCGATTAGGTTTGATACGCCCTTCGCTTTGCCTTCCTGCAAAAACCAAACTAATTTGTGAATATCAAATACTTTCACTATCTTACACTGAAGGCATAATAGAATCGTTTTGCATATCTGTGGTTCATGATTTTTATGTGATTATGTAGTGACTTTGTCAAATATGCTTAAAAATTGAGTGTCAACTGCTTTTTTGTTGATTTTATCATTGCCTACTCGTTAAATTTCATTTTAAATCAAAAGAGTGGCGTAGTTAATAATGCATTGAAGTTTATCTTGTTGGAATAGTGTAAAAACATTAATTAATTTCTAGATAAACACTAAAACATTGTATGTACCTCCTCACTGGAGGATTCTTCACTCTCTGAGCCTGAACCTTTATCACCAGCTGCATCATCCTCTTCTTCGCTTGATGTGACTTCATCAACACCTCTCTGAGCTCGCAATCTCCGCTTCTCCTCTTCTTTTTTACGATCCTGTTCGAGCTCCTCAGGATTCGTGAACTTGCGGTGGCGGCCTTTGTGGTTGACGAACTCTGAAAACGGCGCACAAATGCTTATTAAAGGTGTGAAACAAAAGAAATGCGTTATAGGTTAGGAAAACATGGTGTGCGTAGTTTCAACAGCGTCGTGTAAAACAATCGACGAACGCATGGTAACAAAACTCTACTCACTTCTCGGCATGTTTCTCTGCTTGTGGTTAAATATCGTTGTAAATGGAAACAAAAGCGTTTCGTTCGGTAGAATCAAATACAACGCGCTATTAGAAAATTGTAAAAAGTGACAGGGTTTAAACGTCTGACGCTACGTTGCGCCCAACTTGCGCCAGTTGCGCCGCCAGAAACGTCGAGAACGTTGAGTGAGTAATTCAACCGCGCGGTTTACAATGTATTACGAATGGTAAGACTCGTTTTTTGCATTATTTTATTCAAATCAGGGGTGTTTAGCGCCAGAAATAGAATCGGGATGATTTCTTTGTTAAATTTACTAGAATTTTGGGCCGAAATTCATGTTTTTTGCGATGAATGCTAGAAAAATTTAGGTGCGCATGACTGGCGGTTAACGAAATTGAAAGGTTTCATTTTTGTGACAGTTTGTTTCATTATTGCAAAAAAAACATGTAATTGAACAATTGTATCCACAAATAACAACAAAACAATTGATATAATATGTAATATTATAGTATTGTACGAGTCAACGAGCCTATTTGACATTTAAACACTTAAAATGTCAATTTTCGTTTTGGTTTTTGCGCCGCCATTGCTGCGCAAACCGCCTTTTTTCATCTTTCTTAAGTTGGTACTACAAAAATACGTTTGTTCTAACAGTTTCAACCATTGAACATGTCCAGAAGCAACAAAGTTTTACAAATACATCAATACAGGTTTGTAGCAGTTATTTATTCACACAATTAGCTCAATTTCGCACGGAAATCGTTACAACTTGATTGTTCGCAAATAATAAACTCGTCATTTGCACACGATACTTCTAATTACACCCGAAAATCAGGCGTCGACCTTCGCTTCAGGCTGTAATTCGGGTTGCAATGTGTCGAACCTTTGCAGCAACACGACCAGCTCGGAGTGATGCGTGTAAGGAAACATGTCGACCATGACGGCCCTCGTGGGCACGAAGGGCACCCCTGGATGGTTTTCGACGGCGGGCGCGCAAAGTCGACGAAATTGCCGCACGATTTCCTCGGATTGCACGCAATGAAAACCATTTTTTTGATCCTATCCACCTTGCGCAGCGACGTTATGGCCCTTTTATCTGCAAGTCGATAAATTACATTATAATACATGGGCCGCAAGTGGCCGCACTGGATATAACCAGTGCTAAATAGCGCACACGCGCGCGCAACAATTGAATCCCAATCAGATACACGCGTTTACCTGGTGTTACACGATTATTTATGGCGCAAACGATTAGAGTGAGCAATTACTTACGCAGGCCGGCACGCGGCGGGTCAATGATGGCGATAACGTCGTCGTTGCGTGCGCGCGTCACCACCGAGTAGAGGATTTCCTCGGCCTTGCCACAAAAGAACTCGGCGTTCTCGATGCCGTTCGTGCTGGCGTTGATTTTCGCGTCGGCAATCGCCTGCGGGATGATCTCCAAGCCCAGGACTTGATCACATTTCCGCGCACAGCAGAGACCGATTGTTCCGGTGCCACAGCAGACATCCACAACAGTACTGGTAGGTTTAATATCAGCCAACTCCATCGCGGTTTCGTACAGCACCTCCGCACAGCTGGTATTCACCTGGAAGAACGCCTCGGCTGAGATGCGGAACTTCAACCCTAAGAGAGTCTCGTAAATATACGTCTCTCCAGAGAGGTGCACAGGTGTGCAACAATCATCATCACTTGATTTTCTCTTCACCAGCGGTTGGTAATACAACGAAGTAACATTAGCTTCTTTTCCAGGCCCATCAAAGAAGAATTTAATCAGATCTTGCTTCAATGTTGCAACTTGTTCATCAGTTAAGTCTTTTGGTGATACACCAACGATTAACATGAGTTGATCCTTCGCGGTGCGTGCAGTCAATTGTTTAAAATGCCCAGATTGATCAACGGGGTTAAAAACGGAGAGTTCCGAAGTTTTTACAAAAGATTCAAAGATTTTCACCGCGTTTTTCATGGCGGTTGGTACATGCAGGAGGTCATCAATTGGTCCCACTCCAACATTGCCATCTGTATAACAACCAACCCTGAATCCGATTGTTTTTTCTTTCGTATCCGGACGCAATCCGATTGTGAATTCGCATTTGTTACGATATCTGCAACAGTTGAAAACAGTGATGATTCATGAACACCTGTGGTTGCAGTAAACATTGACCTTAATTAATTACTACTCTTAATTAGGTATTAGATTAGTTTATAGTGGTTTACCCTTCAATTAGTGATGAATATTTCACATTCATGAGCTCACATGGTAAACCATTGTGTTTCTCCTGTTGCTTTCGTACCCAGTTGGTGATTTGAGCATTTCTGAACAATTCCCTGCCTAGGTTTTTAAGAATTGCGTGGATTTCTTCCTGTTTTTTGCTTAGTTGTTCCTCATAGGGTACTTTGTATAGTGGTGTAGTCTGTTCCTTCAACTGCTGCTCGATTGGTATGTCTAGTTTTGGTTTCTTTGAGGCACCATTGACATTTTCTTCTTTTCGCTTCTTAAGTAGAGGATCTGCTGTGGGATTTGCTTTCTAATGAATAGAAATGTATGTTATTTATACAAATATGGAACTCATTTTTGGTACAAACCATAGCAGTCAATTGAGCTCCTTTCCATATAGTTTTGTTTAGTACAACAATGGCATTCTCCCTTTCTTCATCATTGTGAAAACAAACAAACATGTATCGCGCATTCTTGAAAGGCTGCTTTAGCTTGGAACTGTTCAATTGCAGGGTGTGATTGATGAGTTTCTTGATTTCCTACAAATTATGTTTTAATTGTCAGTGGATTGTGGTTAGTGATTGGTATTTACATTAATGCCATAGTATTTGGGGAGGTTTTTCACTTCGATCTTGAATTTCTCCGCGCTGAACTCATCGCGTTCTAAATAAGAAAAGGGATTTTCTGCCGATGCGGCCGGCTGCACGACCACAGCGTCGTCATTCATGCTGGAAATAAAAGAGAATCAAGCTAAACATTGAGTTAACCTCTCGTTTCTCACAGCTACGTTTGCTATATGTGTATTCCATCAACACGTGTTCGGTGTTGAACATTGCGGTGCGCATGTTGGTAGTACGCAAGTTGTAACCGCGCCGAAACCTTGAAACCATTCGAAGGAGTCGCGTGCGTACCGCTCGCGCATCAAGGTCCTGGGATAGTTGGCCTGGATGTTGAAGGTTGGGGTGGGTTGGGGTGTCGCGGCATACAACGCCCAAAAATCGGAAAATCGAACGCATGCGCCCGCAAATTAATAAATTATGAAAGTTTAAAAAAGTCGCTCGTCGCAGGCCAGCCGCAGCGCTGGTTTCGTGACCGAAAAGTTGCCAATTAGCGGGCGTAATTGCTTCCTGGTGGCAGGGTGGAGGCGGCGGGCTGGGCGCATGCAAACGAAGGTCGAGGGCCACATGAAAATGCGCCCGCGTGCGATGCAACTTGCGGATGGAAAACAAAAGGCGAACGCATGCAAATCAATGGCGGTCGCGTATTTTTAGCCGCCCGCCGCCGATTCAAACCGCCGCATAATTCATGCGATGGACGGCGGGGTGCGTGCGTGCGAGTGGCGTGAGGGTAGCGGGGGTGGTGGTGGGCGCCGTGGTGCGCAGGAGCGGCGGGAGCGGGCCGGAGCGCGCTTCGCGTCCGCCAGCGCCGCCAGATGGCTTGCTGTACTTACATAATCTCGGCCGTCAACTGTTTCCAATCATTAACCTAAAAAGCCAAGTCCAGCGCGCACGCAGCCCGACTGCTCGACGTCCGCAACGGCGATCTCGCACGCAGAACGGCGGCGGCAGGCGTCCTCATCGAGCAGCACGTTTGGCCGCGCCCGCACCCGCAGCCGAGAGCACTCGGAGCACTCGCGCCGTCGACGGCAGGGCAGGTCAGCACCCACCCGCCGCCGCCGCAGCACCAGCAGCCGCCCCTCCCGGACGCTCTCACCGCTAGCGCCCGCGCTCGCCCGCCGTCAACATAGATTGCCTGTGCGGCGGCAACTCGATGGACAAGAAGAAGAAAGGCAAGCTGAAGAAGTCGCGCACGGAGGCCGACGCCGTCCATCCGCGCTTCCTCATGAAGCCCGAGGACGAGGAGGAGATGAAGAAGTACGAGAGCGAGCATCACTACTTCTGCTCGACGTGCAAGATCTACATCGCGCCCACCAACCTCTCGCTGAAGATGCACTTCAAGGAGGAGATCAAGGACCACCCGCCGTACGGTATGTGCTACTATTGTAAGGGCGACACGTTCGAGTACAAGTTTAACGGTAACATCCGCTACTACCACAACTGTGCGGACTACCTAGCTAAGAAATGATTTCATTGCTCGTTTCCTTGCGTCGGTCGCGGCCGGCGCCCACCTCTGGCCACCCTAGATTGCGTGCGTGCAGCGTAGTCGCGTAGATTTCCGTTTCCATCTTCCGCTGGAGCCGCAGCGAACTCATTCTCAGGTAGCAGCGGCCGTCAGGCGCTCGCTCTTCGCTCATCTCATGCACACCACACTACTGTACATACGCCTCATTTGCTCTTCTTGTTTGTTGATTGTTTTCGTCGTCCGTCCCACCGATGGACGACCCTTGCATCTCTTTTGGGTGACGAAAAGAGAGTACGACTTTGTGTTCAGATCGTAAGACTTTTAGACAACCACATCAATTATTGAAATAATTGAGGGCAGCAGCCGCGCGCCGAGGCCGCAGAGCACCCTAACACTCGCATTGCAAGGCGGCGCAGACATTGCATGATATAACTGCAACTTGAATTCGCGCTATTAATAGCTGGTTGGTTTGCGTGGCGCATTGTGGAGGCATGCGAGGATCACGAGGAAACATTTCGTTAACGAGCGTGTGTTGTGTATGCTCGGCTCACTTCACTTGTCAATTACGCGTCGCGGCGCCGCACGGCACTGCAACGTGCAGCGGAACATGCAAAACGCGCGCACCTTTGTTTCTTCATCTACTACGACTATTAATCATGCCGGCGCCGCGCCGCGCGCGTTGTCGCAATTTTTGATTAATCCCGAGCGCGTTTTTATTCCACCACCTATGCGCGCCCGGCGAGCACGTTTTCGCATCGATTTTAAGATTGCATTTTGCATTGTCCTTGCAGTTTCAATCATCAGGCACGAAGTGGTGCAGCAGAGTACATATTTAACTTGGGATTATCAATATTGCACAATGTGTGAGCGCGCCCACCACCGATTTCCACCTCGATTTTTCATTTATTTCCTCCCGCCGCAGTAGGTACTTAACGTAATTATGTTTATTACAATGCAGGATCACATGCGGCTGCAACTGACATCATCGCAAGCATGATTTAATCGGCGCCCAGCTCGAAATAAGTATTACCCCAGAGACAATTGACACTTTAAGTGAGTCATGCACACGACTGCACCGCGCACTCAACGCAAACTCAAACTCAAAATATTTAAAACAAAAAAACTGACCAAAATCCACCAAAATACGCGCCAAATTAATAACTTAAATATTACCGGGTCGAAGTAGTGATTCACTGCGCGGGCGTCACATTGTGCAACACCAACACCCACCTGCATTCTCTCGAACTTTTTACACACACACGCACACATGATGCGAACGAACACGACACCCCCGAGTGCGGTTATATGATGCTGTGGCTGCGCTGGTTTACGAAATTACTCGAAATAATTGATACCAAAAAAATAATTATATACGATGGAATCAGTATTATTAGTTAGGTACTTAGTTCTAACGTGTTTTGACAAAGAAGAAGCCCTTTGGTGTATAAGTTGACGTTTATATTTTACATGTGAACGCGGGGAGGTGTTTTTTAAGCGATGTAATCAATAATCGATGAGAATAATATTCACTAGGCATATTTAGTACGCAAGTAGGGAATTGGCGAGTGCGGACGAAATTCGTAGTACAGTAATCGTTTTAATTAACGCGCAATTTTTTAATTGAACGATGATATTGTCATTTCCAAACCAAAACCAACAAAGTAAAAAAAAAAACAAACAAACAACATGTAACATAGGTGATGTAAGAAAAATGAAAAATTTGCTCACTGTATCGAAGATATACATACATTGTACGTTTAAAACATAAAATGATATAAAGTATTATACTTATATATTTAATGCGCATTTGAATTTAAAAACAAATTGATATGAGAATTATGAGAATTCTAATTATACCTATATTATACATTTAATAACGATACCTAGAGATAAACGATAAGTAATGCAAGTGCACAATACATTTTACTGTAATTAAGAGATCAATGTTGTCGTCACATTCCTTCCAAACAAGCAAAACAAAAAAAAACTACTAAACAACATAACAGTAATATCTTTGATGATTGATCATGGATTTAATCGGTGATTCGAACGAAATGAACAACAACAACAACTCAGTTGATTTACTTCCGAGACACGTACGGAATAAGGTTCTAAATGCACTCTTAAACATATTTTATCGGATAGTTATTATATTGCGGCAAGTCGGAGGAGGCGGGTGATCCTCGCCTGAGCGCACGCACAAAATTCGAACATTGTAAATTCTTGGCAGCGATTTGGGCGAGGAGGACCCCCCGACACCAGCAGCCTCCCGGTGAAATTGATTTCGATGCGTGTGCGTGCAGCGCGCATTCTCGCGAACTCAAACTGACTTAAACCGAGGTTGTGGTGAAAATTAATAATAAGGCGGCGTCGTTCCTTCGGCATCGACTCCTTTCCTCACCGCGTGCATAATTGATTCGCGCGAAACGAATGGGACGCGAGCCTGTGTGATGTAATTTTAATCAGGACAATTCATAGCGCACCAACCCCCACCCACCCACCCACAGCCCTCCAGTCTAGCGCCGAACGCAGCAGCATCCTTTTTTCTTTGTGCTCTAAACAAAAACCTTCAAGAGAGTTGCGCACTTCAAACGGAGCATTAAACGCATGGCATGAGTTGAAAGGTTGAACGATATTCCATTGTGCGCGATGAAAATGCTGAATATGAGCGGAAAAAATACCTTGTACCTTAATATAATATATATATATATATATATATATATAGAAATATATATGAATATATGAATTTGACTAACATATGTGAAGATATATGCAGAGTAAAATATAAAAATTATTTTCTTAAATAGAGACTGTCGGAGAGTGCGTGTTTGAACACTTGGGCGGGCACATGCGGACGCGAATGACACTTCGAGATGAATTTAATTATAGATAGCGCGTATTCAATAGGGTAGCGTTGAGATGATATTCGATGATAATCCATAAGTTGAAGTCCTGTTTTGCTCGAACGCGCGCCGCGAAACAGTCCGGGAGGCTGGTCGTGCGCGCATGCGGGAGGCACGGGCGTCAGAAACTAAACTATGAACTACATGAAACAAAAACACCGCAAACCAAGTGGAGAGAAAAAAAAAACCAACCAACCAACCAACACAGAGAAGTAAAACACAACCGTAACAGTGGAATGCTCAAATTATTGCGCACGCGATTTCGCTTTCGGCACGTTACGACTTTCCCGCATTACGTTTTTGGATTCGGGGGCGAAATTAATTTAATACTCGCATTTTTCTAGTCATTTTGCGTTCGAATTACATTCCACGAAAAAAAATAAATCTTCCTCGGGGCTAAGACAACAGATAGATTGAACACACGCATGCGTTGATTACGTATATTTTTGTAAATTGCTTATCGGCCGCTATCCCGTTGGTAAGTGATATATATTTTATTGGAGAAAAACAAAACATTTAAAAAAAAAATTGAAATGAAAGTACAAATTGTTAATGTGTATGATATGGCGGAAGAATATGTGAGACGAATAAAAACTTTGTGATTATCGCAGATGTAAACAAAAAAAAAGAATGTAGCACTATATTTATTTTTTCATAGAAATGAGGAACACTGTAATAATAGAAAACAATCAAAAGCGAAACGAATAACAAAACAATTACCTACTTGAAGTTTTGAAGGCAATTCAATCGACACTTGCTTTTTGATTCTTGATAACACACGAACAAACCAACTAAGAAAAACCTAAATACAGCAAAGAAAAAAGTTGAATGCTTCCATTTAAAATTTATGAAAAATTGTTATTGAACATAACGAATAAAGGGTTAGTAAATAAATTATTATAACTGATAAATGAATGAACATAGATAGTGATTGAAAATTACGATAAGGATGATAATGGAAAGTTTATAAAATGAAAATGCGAATATAATATTTGATAATGATTGATTCGACGACGAGAGGAGACGTATTTTAGACACAAAGTGATTATTATTGGAGTAAGTTTTGTACATTTTTTGTCCGTTCGTTGATTGGTCGACCAGCGATTGTTTGTGTCCTTATTGTCTACCATACAACCGTAATTATCTCAAATATATGATGGATATTAATATATACATATAAATATATTTCAAGCGATTACGCTGATTTCGGCTTTAATTGTTCTATGTTTCTGTATTATCTCCTGTATTATTATACTTATTGACCGAACATTAAAGTGTGAACATTGTGAATAAAGAAGTAATATGATTACTCCTGCGCAATCAGCGAGATGTGGTATTATTTGGTTGTACCATGTCAACGTCCCTTTGCGCTCGCGAGGCATTCTTCGGCGGGCGTTGGAAATAGGTACGCCGAAAAGGTCACTCAGGCGAAAGAGTGCCCGCGCGGATCGGCACGTACCGCTCCATCCTGCGCCGCCGACCGCGGCAACAATTATAAATTAATATTATTTTTAGTTCGCGCCGGCACTCGCGCTCGCGCCGATCCACAGATCGCTCGTCCGTTTCTTAGCGCGCCACGCGAGGTACGTGCACGTCCGAATTAAATACGTATCTGTGTAGAACGCATTGATGAATCACCGGTGACTTTAAGTCGAGTTACTTGTGGACATCAGCCAAGTGCAGTGGTATTAGCAACGATTGAGACACGAAGAATTTCCAGGATCTACAAGATACAAGATGTTTTCGGCCTTTACAGGTAGGTACATATTTTCTACACGCAATTTTATATACTCATGCATTCAATTTTGCGGAGCGAACAGTTTCGAACAAATTCAGAGCATGCTTAAGTCAATATTAAGCTCCTATTAGTTGTTGGTTAGTTAATTTTAATTGAACACGCATAAGTTTAATAATCCAATTTTTGTGTGCCACAAGGAGTAAGTCTCGAGTGGAATACATCGAGGAATTCTCGCATTTTTTAAATATGCAGCTATTTCGGACGATTACGGCTTTGTTTCTAAATTATTGCGCATTTGATTTGCTTTACAGCGTGTTAAATTCTCGATTGCAATACAAAATTTTATTAGAAACCGAATAGAAATGAGTCACACTTTTTGAAACATCAGTATAACTATTTTTTTCATAGTTTATGACTCGGGCCACGTTTCGAATGATGAGTAACACCTTCGCATAAATTTACGTCCATGTTAGCGCTCGCTAAATTTGAAAATTGCTCCTTTTTCTGCGCAGTATTTGCACTTTTTACTGTTGGCGCAGTAAAGTGCTGCTAATGTGCTACGCCGACACAATTCGGCGCAAACTAGCGCAAAGGCAACAACCAGTTGCACTTCTATTTCGGTTTTCCTCGCATAATGTTCTAATTTTAAATCGTAATTTATGTAAATTCCGAACTCATTCACTCGCGCGCGCGCTAGTAATGTATGCCACCTCGCCGCCTAATTTGAACGAACCAATTGATTAAGAAGTCACCGGGTCGGTGAGTTCATGCTCATGATTTTTATTGTTTGCCGCACAGTGCGCAATTATCAAATGCCTCGGTTATTATATCACTTGTTTATACCTCTCTGAGTTCATTTCACACTTTTATTTCCGACCGTGTGCGCGGCTCTACGTCGCAACATCGAAGGTTTTTTTTCTACGCCGACTTTTCTTTATGTGCCGTTGGCATGTCGACGTGTGTTCGTGTATCTGATGTCATCCGGCCGCAAGGTTGCGGATTACAACAAATCGCGCATTCATTTCATCGGCGTTCGTGCGTTTCTGCGCCGCCGGATGACCTTCCTTTATGCTTCCATGCCTCATAATGATCTCATAACGTAGAAATTGTTTATTTTTAACGCCGCGCACGTAAACAAAATCGGCGCCCCAAATGGGTGGATGGCGTCGCCGGTGTATCGACAGGCAAAGTTTCTTCTCGTTGATCGCTCATCGCGCTCATGTGATAACATTGCGATGGCTAAAAATACCGCCGGAGTGCGGCGCAGGCATGGAGAGTTTATTAATGAATAAAGCGGCGAGAGCATTTTTGGCACGGCCGCGCGATTCTAGAATGGTTTAGTTTTTCTATGCGCTCGTGAGACGGAAAAGTTGGTACTTCGAAGTACGCGACAATTGAAAAGGAACTTTTTGGACGGCTAATGCTAATGATAGAGTATTTTTGGACGTAGAAATGATTTACTCCAAGTGGGACACGACGTTTGTTTTGATCCAATGCCCAATTTTCTTCCACTCATACTGCGCATTTAATATCCGAGGAATTATTCGAATTATTCACCGCATCGATTTGTTTTAGCCTCCTTGAAAAGCCTGGGCTGCAAAATCGGCTCGGCTTTTTCGAGAAAACGAAATGACGCCGTTGAAACAATCGATGATCGAGCTCAGGCAGCCGACGAGCAGGTTGCTGCGACTGCAACAGCCGCGAATGACTTTGCAAAGAGCACAGGTAATTTATTTAGCTTACAATAATTACATTCAATCTAATATAAAATATAAAATTCTGCGTAGCACAAGAAGCGAAGAATGTTGCAAAGTCTGTCCAGGATGAACTGCGTGAAGCTGAACGGGATGCAGCGAAAGCCACCAAGGAAATTGATCAAACTCTTCATAAAACCGCTGATAATGCGGCCGAAGGTCTCGCCCGAGCAGGAACCACTCTCGACAATAAAATGAAGCAGACTGGCGATGCGGTAAGCAGGACTGCTTGGTACGTACGGGATTCTGTATCTGATAAGAAGGATGAAGTCGCTACCGGATTGAAAGCAGTCGCACAGTCCGCGGATAACAAGTGGAAGGAAACCTTGGATCAGGGTAATAAAACAATTGAAGGTGTGCAGAAGACGGCAGGTGACGTAAAGAATGTGACCGCGGCGGGATTAAAATCGGCTGAGGATAAACTGCATGATGTTAAGGTTGCTGCAGATAACAAAGCAGCCGCCATTGGTCAATCCGTACATAACACCGCGGGTAAAATCGGTGAGAAGATTGACGAAAGCAAGAAAGGTTTCAATGACGGTGTGAGGAATCTGGGAAACCAAATGCACGATGCGAAGGTTACGGCTGATAGCAAGGTGAGTGCCTTTGGTCATTCAGTGAAGGATACTGCACAGGACGCCGCTTGTAAAATTGGTGACAAAATGCACGACGCCAAAGTTGCTGCTGATAACAAAGCATCTGCTTTCGGTCAATCTGTAAATGAAACCGCGGGTAAAATCGGTGATTCCTTTGAGCAGGGCAAAAAGGGTTTTAATGATGGTGTGAAGAATCTGGGTAATCAGATGCACGACGCCAAAGTCGCCGCTGATAACAAAGCAGGCGTTATCGGGCAATCGGTGAAAGATGGCGTCTCCAGTTTTGGTAGGTCTGTTGAAGAGAAAAGACAGGAAACCGCTGAAGCTCTCAATAAAACTGCTCAGAATATTAGTCAAAAAGGGAGTGAACTAGCCAAGGGAGCCCAGGATACATTCGACAGTACACGCAAATCAGCCGAAAGACAAGGTCAGGACTTTATGACTTCTGCGAATGATAAATTATCTGATATTGGAAGTGGAATTTCGAAGTCCATGTCGAATAGCGGTAAGTATCTGGAGCATCAAAAGGATAATTTGACTGACGATGCAAAGCGGGTAGCTGATGCAACTGGTCAAAAACTATCTGAGTTTGGCAAGGCCGCTAGCGACAAGAAACAAGCTTTAGGGGAGGGTATTCAACATGGATTTTCAGCAGCCGGGGATAAATTGTCTGATTTCGGAAAGGCGGCTGATGAAAAACGTCAGGTTGCTGCTGATAGTATCAATCAAGCTGCTTCTAATGTAGCAGATTATGCTAAGGATAAGAAAGACTCTGTTGCTGCGGGTGTTCAAGGGGTTATATCAGGTGCTGCCAAGACTGCTGACAATGCCAAAACATCGATGCAACAAGGATTTACCAATGTTCGTGACAGTGTCAATCAAAAGGGAGAAAGTATGGCTGCTGGTGTTCAAGGAGCTGTTTCTGCAACTGGCGAAAAATTATCTGATGCAGCCAAGGCGGCTGAAGATAAAAAGAATGCCATTGCTGAGGGAATATCATCAGGTTTCCATGGAGCGGTTACAAATGCCAGTGACAAGTTGTCTAATGTTACTAAAGCCGCAGAGGATAAAAAGAATGCTGCTGCAGAAGGAATTTCTACTGCCGCAGGTAATGTTAATGCAGGTATACAGGGAGCTGTAGCGGGTGCAGGTAAAGCTGCTGAAGATGCAAAATCATCATTGCAACAAGGTTTTGGTAATGTTATGAGCAATGCCAATCAAAAGAAGGAAGCTGTCGCCGCGGGAATCCAGGGTGCATTCTCTGCCACTAGTGATAAGCTTTCCGAGGCTTCCAAGGCAGCAGAAGAGAAAAAGAATGCCATTGCTGAAGGCATCTCAACCACTGCAGGAAATGTGTCTCAGTATGCTGCGGATAAGAAAAATGATTTGACCACTGGTCTTGCCAATCTGGGCAAAGCCGCTGAAGGTAAACGTCAAGACCTCTCCGAAGGAATGAAAACAGCAGCAGGAAATGTCTCCGCATTTGCCTCCGAGAAAAAAGAAGCCACTGCTGAGACCATCCGAGGTGCCGCTGCTGCTACCGATGAAATTCTATCCGATGCAGCGAAAGCTGTAGAAGCAAAACGTCAAAACGCTGCTGAAGGTATAAGTCAGTTTGCAACGAGTGCCAAGGATAACGTATCCGCAGGTTTGAATTATGTGGGTAGTGGGGCGAAAAATGTCGGGGCAACCATTGGAGAAAACCTGACCAATGCAGCCAAAGCTACAGATGAGAAGCGTCAGCAGTTAACGGAAGGTGTTAGCAACGCGGCGACTGGCGCTGCACATACTGTTGGCGAAAAATTCTCTGATTTTGGTAAGTCAGCTGAAGAAAAACGTCAGGCAGCAGCTGATGGGTTACACCATGTCGCTGACGGCGTCAGTAATAAAATGGCGGATGTGGGTAAAGCAACGAATGAAAGTTTACACAATGCAGCAGCAAACACCAGTCAGTTTGCAGCGAACGCCAAAGATGCAGTTTGTGAGAAAGCCTCAGGTCTTGCAAAAGCAGCTGATGAAAAGAAACAGTCGTTGAGTGAAGCTGCAAGTCAGGCCACAGCAAATGTATCTAACAAATTATCAGATATCAGTAAAGCCACTGGTGAGAAAATGTCAGGTATTGCCAAATCTGCGGAGGAAAGCCGTGATGCTTTGGCTGATTATGCAACTGAGAAAAAGAATAATTTGGCCGCGGGTATTCAGAACACTACTAGTAGCATTGGTAGCTCGTTATCGGATGCTGGTCAAGCCGCCCAAGACAAATCCAAATCAGCTTTTGAAGGACTTAAAACCGCTTCTTCAAATGTAGCGCAATCTGTGTCTGAGAAAAAAGACGCGATGGCCGATAGCATCAAATCGACTGCTGATTCAATGAACAAATCATTAGAGAACACCCAAAAGGCTGTGGCTGAAAACCTCGCGGCAGGCGCCAGCAGTGCTGCCCAATATGCCGATCAAAAGAAACATGACATGGCCGAAAATGTGAAGCATGTCGGTGAAGCCATCGATAACAAGATTAAAAACACAGCGGCAGCCACTGAAGATGCGGTTAGTAATACCCTGAAGAGTGTTGGCGGGTTCTTTGATCACTCCAAACAAAGCGCCGAGAATTTCCTGGGCAATGCGAGAGAACAGGCTGCCAAAGAAGCGGATAAAGGCGCTGATGCAGCTTCCGCGCTCTTTTCGAAAACGACGAGCTTATTTCACAAGTAAACCAATCTGCGACAATTATGACAAATAATGAAAGAACCAAGGACAATAATGGCTTTTTTGATACGTCGATATTTGGAATTCAACATTGCGCCAACTGTTTATCTGTTTGTTTGTTTGTTGATAACGCATATCTGTATTATTAGTATGTTGAATTTTTGTTTATTTACTTTTTTTTGATCATCGGATCTGCTTGACGTCCAAATGTGAACTATGTGTTAATTAATTTATATCGTTGTAACATTTAATACAAAAAATAATTAATGACCTGCAAGGCAGTATCTCTTCCACCTTCCATACCACAGGTATGGCGATTGCTGGGGTGATATAACATTATGAAATGATTTCACAATTATTAAAATCACTTCGTAAACACTCAGGTGGTATCTAGGTATCCAGGTAGTTGTTATACCAACGAATATTTCAAGTGTTTCCGATATTGTTTCCCCTCCATTACAATTCACGTTCAATCCGGTTATTGCGAGTGGGTATATATACGCTCTTATTATTAGTCAACAAATAGTTCAGTGACACAACCTCGAACGTCGTGAATTGAACTTAACAAAAAATAACAAAATGTGGTGGTTGCTCGGGATAGCAGTGGTTTCTTATTGGTTCTACAAGTATGTAATGGTGCCGAGGTCCTATTGGAAGGAGCGGGGCGTGCCATTTGATCCACCATTGCCCATTTTCGGAAACTTCTACCCAATTGTCAGCCGTAAACAAAGTTTCTTTCATTACCAAGGTGATGTCTACAAGCAATTTCCTAACGATAGGTAACAATACTTTAATATTTCCTACAATTTGATCGATTCTGTTGTACGACAAGTGAAATATTATTCTGGTTGTAGATACTGTGGAAATTTTCAACTTACTACCCCCACCCTTTTTATACGCGATCTGGACTTGATAAAACAGATAGCCGTCAAGGATTTCGACCACTTTACGGATCACCGCAGTGTGAACACCGCCAACGATGCTCTCTTCTATAAAAATCTCTTCCAGCTCAAAGGCGAAGAATGGCGCGAAATGCGCGCTTTTCTAAGTCCCACGTTTACCTCGAGCAAAATGAAGGGCATGTTTGACTTAATGGCGGCGTGCGCCCGTCGCGTCACCACCCATTTTCTTGAGTTGAACGAAAAATCTAATGAAATTGAAGTGAAGGACTTATTCACCCGATATGCGAATGACGTTATAGCCACTTGTGCATTTGGTGTGGAATGCGATTCGTTGAAAAATCCCGAGAATGATTTCTACCTGAACGGAAATGAAGCCCTGAATTTCAGTGGTATTCGAGGATTAAAAATTATGCTTGCGAATTTTATGCCGGGACTTTTCAAGTTTCTAAACTTGAGAGTATTTCCTGAATCGTTCTCAGATTTTTTCTTCAATTGTATTAAGGAGGCTATTACCCATAGGGAGAAACACGGTGTAATTCGTCCGGATGTTATTCATTTACTGATGGAAGCGCGAAAGGGAAAATTGAAGCATGATAGTAAACGAGATGAGAATGATAAAGGTTTTGCCGTTGTTGAAGAATCTAATTTAGGCAAAGCTGAAGTGCGTTTGGAAGGAATATCTGATGTTGATATTGCCTCACAATGCTTCGTTTTCTATATCGCCGGATTTGATACCGCTTCTTCAGCCATGACTTTTACGTTGACTGAACTTGCAATAAATCCGGAAGTTCAAGATAAACTCTTCCAGGAAATCGATGAAGTGATGAAGAGCACGAAAGGAAATATAACGTATGAAGCAGTCATGAAGATGAAGTACCTGGATATGGTCATCTCGGGTAGAAAATTTTATTCTTAACTTGTTTGATAATAAATTTAATTGATTATTTTGCAGAATCTTTGAGAAAATGGCCACCAGCACCTTTCTTGGATCGTTTGTGCGTCAAGGATTATCATATTGCACCAACAAAGCCCACCGAAGTTCCTGTGGTTGTGAAAGCTGGCGACATACTTACTGTTCCTGTGATTGGTATCCACAAAGACCCGGAATATTTCCCAGACCCAGAGCGGTTTGACCCAGAAAGGTTTTCTGATGAGAACAAAGACAAAATTGTTCCATCTAGTTACATGCCTTTTGGGATTGGGCCACGTTCGTGCATAGGTAAGATACTTTTACTTTTTACCATGAAACACAGTCTAACAAAGTGTACTACCAGGTTCACGGTTTGCTTTGCTCGAGGCAAAGATCATTATGGTTGAATTTTTGCATAAGTTTGAAGTGTATGTGATTGAGAAAACTTCTGTTCCGATTACTTTGAGCACCAAAACTGTCAAAATTGCTCCTGATAATGGTTTTTGGGTTGGGATGAAGAGAAGATAATCCCATTGATGTTATTAGGTATTTCCACTATTACTGATAAATTTTTGTTTATTTACTTATTTGACCATGGAATCTGCTTGACGTCCTAATGTGAAGTAGGAGTTAATTACATTTAATTTATTGTAACCTTTAATACAAAAAAAAAAAAAAAGAACTGCAAGTGAGTTATATTTTCTCATTGTACATTTATGATCATTTATGGTCATATTGAATTATTTGCGATACCACATTTGAATAGGGTTCATTCGTTTGACCTTCCTCTGCAGCAGTAAAATACAATACATTAGTGCCTCAGCAGTTGGAGGACATCCCGGCACAAAAAAGTCTACTGGTATAATGCGGTCCACACCCCTGCAAATCATTAGGGATCAAAATGATGTAAATATTAATAAAAAAACGCGTTTCACCTCAACACCGAATAGGAGTAGTGGTAATATCCTCCTCCCACAGCGCATGACCCCATCGCAATAATCCATCGGGGTTCTGGCATTTGGTCATACACTTTACGAACCGCCGGTGCCATCTTGTTGGTGACTGTTCCCGCAATGATGATAACATCGGTTTGTCTAGGCGAGGCGCGGAAAACCACACCGTAGCGATCCATATCGTACCTGGGTGCTGCGATGTGCATCATCTCAATAGCACAGCACGCGAGCCCGAAGGTCATGGGCCATAGTGAGCCCTTACGGCTCCAATTGATCAGGTCATCTAGGCGCGCCAATGTCCATTCGGTACGAGTCTTTGTCAGTTGGAAGGGTGAGTATGGCTTGAATGCTTCGATTTGCTTCCGTGCGGGATACCGGATGATGGAGGTGGAGATGCTGCGTTTCAGGAATAGCAACATTTTGTCGGGATAAATTGATGTTTCTATTATGTTATTGAATTTATTGTTTCAATTGTCTGCCTAGGGTAACTAGATGCCATTAAAATAAAAATAACAAAACACAAACAATTATTCATGGTAACATGATAACAGTTACAGAAGCATTGCTGGGATGGCTTAATATTACGAAATAATTTTACTAATTCCTAAAATAACTTGATAGGCATTCAAGGACATGACCTAAACTGCTTTTATGCACTGTAATATATCAAGTGTTTTCAATATCATGTCCCCTCCATTTATTTAACGTTCTATCTGCTTATGCGAGTGGGTATATAATACGCTCTCATGCTAGTCAATAAACAGTTCAGTAAACACCTCAGCCTTGAACCTCTCACAAACTCAGTAAAACAGTCGATGGACACCTGATTTGTTTGTAAACTTACACTAAAATAACAAAATGTGGTGGCTTCTCGGGATATTAGTAGTTACTTATTGTTTCTACAAGTATGTGATGGTGCCGAGGTCCTATTGGAAGGAGCGTGGTGTGCCATTCGATCCACCGTTGCCCTTTTTCGGAAACTTCTATCCCATTATGAGTCGTCAACAAAGTTTCTTTCATTACCAAGGTGATGTTTACAAGAAATTCCCTAACGACAGGTAATAATACTGTCATATTTTCTACAATTTGATCGATTGTGTTGCACAACAAGTGAAATGTTATCATGATTGTAGGTATTGTGGGAACTTTCAACTTGCTACGCCCACTCTATTTGTACGTGATTTGGATTTGATAAAACAGATAGGCGTCAAGGATTTTGACCACTTTACCGATCACCGCACGATTACTAGCTCTAACGATACGCTTTTCTATAAAAATCTTATCGTGCTCAAAGGCGATGAATGGCGCGAAATGCGCGCGTTTTTAAGTCCCACGTTTACTTCCAGCAAAATGAAGGGAATGTTTGAGTTAATGTCTGCATGCGCCCGCCGCGTCACCAATCACTTTCTTGAGTTAAACAAAAGTCAGACGAAATTGAAGTGAAGGACTTGTTCACTCGATACGCAAACGACGTTATTGCCACTTGTGCATTCGGTGTGGAATGCGATTCGCTGAGATATCCTGATAATGATTTCTACCTGAACGGGAAGGATGCACTTAATTTCGGTGGTATTCGAGGAATTAAAGCAATGTTGGCAAACTTTATACCGGGACTTTTCAAGCTCCTGAATATGAGATTGTTTCCAAAATCGTTCTCAGATTTTTTCATAAATTGCATTAAAGACTCGATTGAGCATAGGGAGAAAAACAGTATCATTCGTCCGGATGTCATTCATTTACTGTTGGAAGCGCGAAAAGGAAAATTGAAGCACGATAGCAAACGAGATGAGAATGATAAAGGATTTTCCGTTGTTGAAGAATCTAGTTTAGGCAAGGCGGAAGTACGCTTGGATGGTATAACGGATGTTGACATTGCCGCCCAATGCTTCATTTTCTATATCGCCGGATTTGACACCGCTTCTTCAGGCATGAGTTTTACGTTGACTGAACTTGCAATAAATCCGGAAGTTCAAGATAAACTCTTCCAGGAAATCGACGAAGCGATGAAGAGCACGAATGGAAAAATAACGTATGACACTGTCATGAAGATGAAATACTTGGATATGGTCATCTCGGGTAGAACATTTAATTAACTTTTTTTGATGCTAAGTTGAATTGATATATAATTTTGTAGAATCTTTGAGGAAATGGCCACCAGCACCTTCGTTGGATCGTTTGTGCGTCAAGGATTATCATATTCCACCAACAAAGCCCAACGAAGTTCCTGTGGTTGTAAAAGCTGGCGACGTACTTGCTATTCCTGTGATTGGTATCCATAAAGACCCGAAATACTTCCCAGACCCAGAGCGGTTCGACCCAGAACGATTTTCTGATGAGAACAAAGACAAAATTGTTCCATATAGTTACATGCCTTTTGGAATTGGGCCACGTGCGTGCATAGGTAAGATGCTTTTCATACTTTTCACTATGAAACATTATCTGACGAAAGTGTAATTCCAGGTTCACGGTTTGCTCTCCTGGAAACAAAGATAATTTTGATTGAATTTTTACACAAGTTTGAAGTGTATGTAATTGACAAAACTTCTGTTCCGATTGCTTTGACTACCAAAAGTTTGAAAATTGCTCCTGATAATGGTTTTTGGGTTGGGATGAAGAGAAGATAATCCCATTGAATTGAATTTACACATTTTATAATGTTTATTTATCAAATAATGGAAACAAACCTGTAAAACGCTGTTTTAAACTTAAACATCACACCTCATCTAGGTTTGACTTATTGCATTTATGTATAAAATTGCTATTCATTTAGATTGGATGTTGCATGAACACTTTTGTGTACGTGTGTCACACGGACACTCCATCTAAGTGCGTGACCACTCACTGCCTCATACACAATTTTGCACTGACTCACATGCGCGCCACACCGTTTGAAACACTTTGTACCTGCTTGAGGTACCGTAAAGAGTTCTCAGATGACGCGACGGTTCAGGTTTATCGTGAAATATTCCAACGAGTGCATTTTGTTTTGTTGCATCGGTGCGATAACAACGAGCACACATTCCTCACTTTCGGCTTGTGTTATTCTTTCATATTAGTTCGGTACATCGCGTTATATTTGGTTCATCGCCGGTAATAATTAGTGTTAATTGACGTGTTTAACCCGCTACTTGTTATTGCCACTAATTATCGCGCATGTAGTCTTCTTTTTGTTTTTAATTTATTCACGTTGTTGTGATTCCGCTGCCGTCGGGCGACGGCCGGTGATATTCTATGAACGCCAATAGTTAATTGACTTGTGAAAAGTGTCTTTATCATCAGCCGATGATCATGAGCTAATATGCTACCTGGTAAATATTGTCATTCCTATCATTATTATGCGAATAACATGAATTTTAAATCACAAACTGGATTCCGACAGAACTCAGATTCAATTCAACATAAATAACTAATGTTTTGTTTCTCCTTTATTTCAGTATCTATAAATAGGCTGTCAATTTACCGGCTTCGATAGACCGGTAAATAAAATAATTTCATTATTCATAGATTGTGTTTGTCCTGTACCTAGATTTTAGTTTAGTTCAATTTAGAATTAGTTAAATCGAATTTTAATTTAACATTAATTTCATTACTAAATGTAAATTGTGAGACCACTACTTATATCATTTATAGATGACACTAGCATGAACTGAAAATCATAAAATAGACATGTATTGTTTACTTATCGGCAAACGTAGGCATTTCGCACGAGAATTGTGTTTGTTTTGAATATAACTCACACTTTCGTATCGCATTCGTCGCATGAAATACAACGCATGAGATCCCCTCACGCCGCACGTTGCCGCATCTTAGTTTTGTTTTGATCGCAGATAACGTGCCAAACGCAATTCGCGCAGTCGACGCGCCGGCTTTGCGCACCTCTTGCTTTCTTATCATAAACAGTTGCGTCGTTGCTTGCTCGGCTACGGCATCCGCGGATTGTGGCCAGTTTCGTGTCGGTTTGTGAGTGATTCAGACGTATTTCTCGCGACTCGGATTGTTTGTTCGGTCTTCTTCTTCACATTATATTCGGTCATCAATCGGCTAGTTAATTTTAGCTTGCGACTGTAGCAATGTCGTTTAGTATTTGCGCGCTTATTGTCCATAATTGCTTCATATTTGGTTGACCACCGGTGATAATTAGTATTTATAGTCGTGTTTGGCATTTTAATAATAGTAATTTATCGCGCGTATAATCTTCGTAAATCTAAATTTTGCGAGTTTAGTCTAAATACACTGTGATTGGGTTGCGTCGGACGCCGGCCTGTGATTGATTGTGAACCGCAGAACACGGACCTGGTAAATATTGTTATTCCTATGATTATAGTTTCCCCATAATTGTATCAAATGTGATTCACATTGTCAGACGAAAAAAGAAAATTTGAAATTTAAACTTTTTATTACGAATGTTGGTACAAAATGTTCTCGCATTTTGATCAAATAGACAGATATAGAAATAAACAATACATGTCTATACATATCAGCAAGCGCGAGCATTCGACACGAGAATTGTGTTTGTTTTGAACACAACTTACACTTTCTTATCGCATTTGCCGCGAGAATGCAACGCATGAGATCCCCTCACGCCGCACGTTGCCGCATCGTAGTTTTGTTTTGATCGCAGGTAACGTGCTAAAGCGATTCGCGCACAAGGTCGCGCGCCATCGACGCACTGGCTATGCGCATCTCTTGCTTTCTTATCATACTGTCGCGTCGTTGCTTGCACAGTTTGCAGCCAGTGCGTGCCGGTATCTAGTTTATCCAGACGTATTTTACGCGACTCGTATTGTTTGTACGGACTTCCCCTTTCCAAATTTGTATTATATTAAATCATCAATCGACTATTTAATTTTAATTTGTGACGAAAGTAAAGTTATTTCCTCTTTGCGCGTTTATTTCTTATAAATGTCGGTTTAGTGTATCTCCTTCATGTTGATTTGATAGTATCATTAGGATGACCAATTGAGCTGGTGTAAGTACTCGATACTTTTAACAAAACACTCCACTGTGTGATTATAGTCGTCTGAAATATTTTTGTTTTACTTACGTTTCTTTTTTTTTATTTACAGTATTAGCCGTGGCTTGGAGTCCCACGAGTTTGGCATTGGTATGTTTACAATTCAATTATGTTTTTCGTTTTAATTTCTGCGTCATACATTAGTTTGTATTTCCGTTGTCTTGTTTTATCGCGTTCCACCGTGTGTTGCAAATACATCAGAGTCGCGTACCCGGATGATGCATCTGAAAATTAATTGTTAGGATTTGTTTAGAAGATATTCACTGTCGAAAATTTCCTCACATTTCCGTTTTAACTATCATATCTTATAGAGATAAGGTCGTAGATTAAGACGCTGCGATCAGATCTTAATTGTCTCTTTTAGTTTACGAGATATTCGCGATTGAATAAAATGAGCAAAAATTGCAAAATGTCACTTTTTAGCACTTTTAGTCGCGTTTTTCGACCTTTTACTGTAGGAAATATAATTATTTTATATTTCTACCTGATTGAGAATTTTCTAGTCTTTCATAATCAACAATTTGTTGGTAGCTGTCGTTGTTAGTTTAAGAGATATTAATTATCAAAAATCGTCGAAAAGTATCAAGCACCCCCTTGGCAATTTTTTCTTAAGACTTAAAATTTTCATCTCTCAAATTTCCCTTTTTAACTATCTTATCTGATACGAATAGTCCGTAGATTACAGTGCTGCGATCAGATCTTAATTATCTCTTTTTAGTTTACGAGATATTTCGCGATTGAATAAAAATGGGCAAAATTGCAAAAATGTCACTTTTAGCACTTTTTAGTCGCGTTTTTCGACCTTTTACTGTAGGAAATATAATTATTTTATATTTTTGTCTGATAGAGAATCTTCCAATCTTTCTTTCATAATCAACAATTGTTAGTAGCTATTCTTTAGTTTAAGAGATATGAATTTTTGAAAATCGTCGAAAAAATAAGCACCCCTTTGGCAATTTTTCTTAAGACTCCGTAACACTCTCATCTACTAACGCTCGTTTTATTCATCAACTTTTTAATTAAACGCTGTGCGCGCGAATTAATTCCGCACGAAATTATTTGCCGAAAATGAAATTCGGCGCTTCAAACAATGAAGCGATGAAACAATGTTTAATGTGTGAATGAATAATCTGTTTGGTACTAAAAACCTAAGTTTTATGGTATATTAAGTATCAAGTGTGCTAAATGACACTTTAATCACGTTTAGCGTTTATTCTCCCCGTGACTAAATCCCGTGACTAAAGTACTTTAGTCACGGCCTTGGCTATTCGCGTTTTCCAAAATTTACCATTTTTTATATTAAAATAATTATTCCTCTTTTATTCATTATAATAAAATATTTAATGGCTTGTTCATATTCCACCCCTCAAGTTTTATTAAATAATTATATTATTTCCGTAATTTTTCTATTTAAATTGCGCAGTAAAAATTTGAAAAAAGTCCAAACTAGCCAAGTTTTATTTTATATCCTCCTCGTTATTAAGTTTAAACTCTACACCACACTCGTCTGCCTATAGTCCTCGTCGCCTCGTTGTCGTCCTCGTACTCGTCTTTAAAAGCTCAACAGCACTGCATTATACGACGCGCAATATTCTCGACGACCTACATACTCCCACTCGCACGTACGCCCTCAAGTTTAAACCCTTGCGTCAGCTATAGATGAAAACGTCTTCAGTTGTTACGCGAGACATAATAAACACATGCAGTAAATATGTTTACGCCTTGCAATAAAATACAAATTAAACACGCTTCAAAATTAATTCTAATTAGAAATCAATGGTTTAGTCAAAAGGTATTGTCGATAATGACAGTGCTAAGAATGCAAATGTCAAAGGACAATGGAATACAATGGATTTCAACAAGGAAAATTCATTTATTCACACAGCGAGAGAACTTCACAGATGCGCCCCATGAGACCAAATCTCGATTGAATAATAAAACAAAACAAAAAGGATTTCATTTACAAACCTAATGCGAATCGAACAAAATAAAATCAACAAACAACCGCAGAATGCTATTAGCATTATCTATAATTATCACACATTAAAACCGCATAGTAATCGACTATTAAAAGCGGTAATTAACCTGGAAATACGCAAATTAAAATTTATTTTTCGGTAAAACTTTATCAGTATTTTTTACAGTAAAATTTTATGCGCTAATAAGCAATAATATTAAACGATACACCTTTGCACAATTAAAAGTGACCATTCTTTCACATATGCTCATTTTCTATTCTCCCTCGTCCTTATAAACGTGCTCGAAGCTCGACTCAGGACACACCACCACACCATTAATGCGCTGAAGTGCAATCGGCATTGTATAAGTCAAGCACCGCGTTCGTGCCGACGTGGCGACGTCGTTAAAATAAAGTAAAATCGATGAGGGGAAAATTACTTGGCTATACAAATGCGTAGACATGCACATATTTCCAAGAGGATATTATGTGCCCTAGATCGAATATATTTTAAATGTAAAACTTACATAGTCTTTAAAATATCACATTTTAATTGACCCTTGATAAAAGTGATGAAAACCAATAGTGGAAGCCATAAAATTCTTGCTGAAATTAATTAACTACATCAAAGATTGAATAAAAAAGAGTACAAGTAATCAACAAGCGTGTGGGTAGACATCAAATGAACTTTTACTGCAATATCCGATGATGGCAATAGAGGACAGGATGTGACAAATATGTGAAGTGCAGCTAGTCAGTTATACCATCAGCGAGCTGCACAAAGCACACAGGATGTCGATTTTTATAGAAAAATTTCCAAGAAAACACCGCGTCAAAAAAGAAATATTTTTAGAAAATGATTTAATTAAGAAATTTGAGTGAATTTTTAAAGAATAAAAAAATAAAAATTGCATTTGTGGTTTTTATCGATTGTAGTGCAAGAAAAATAAATAATGTGTGCGCTACGATGAGAAACACGACGAAAACAGATATATACACTTGGTAAAAAGTACTGAGGGAATGGATGCGATAGATGGGATTTTATTGCAGATTGTAACGAGTCCGTCCATCCCCGACACGTACACTAATTCATCTTCACGGAAAGTGCTGAACAGTATGGATGTATCAGTAGAAATACTTAAAAGCAACTTGTTCATGTCTATTACAAACCGTCTGCCGGATAAATCGATTTCGTGTTTTTTAATTGTGCAAAAAATTGTTTTTCTACTTCCACTTTTAAAGCTTTGTTTTCTACGGTTTTTAGACATAAAAATTGTACTTTATACACGGCCGTGACTAAAGTACATTATCCACGGCTTTTTAGTCACGGGGCGGAGCTTGGAGCGTTGATCAATTCTAAATATTCTATAATTCTGATTTTTATAACCCAGTTTTTCACAAAAAAATTATATTATAACTATCTACGAATATTATTTCGCAACTGAAAGTTATTTGCTACAAAAAGTTTATAAAAGCCTTGTATGCACTTTGATAGTTTACGGTAACTGCGGTAGTTGCAAGTTGGAATTGAGTTGTGAGTATTACCACATAGTGCTATTAGAAAACGCGCAGGAACAAAGCGCGTTGGTTCATGTGTGAATGTCGTCGTGGAAGTGTCCTGAATGGCGCTGAAAGCCCGCGGCGTTTTCGTCGCATCCTCGCCGCCGCGTTTCTAAGAGTTATACTATACAGTAACTATACAGCTACAAGATGTGAGCGTAGCTAAATTCCCTCCTTCTGTTGCGTGTCGGCATCACCATCAACTACTTTACTTATCCTGGCTGGTTGGTTCTCGTCGTGCGGCGCGCACGTTTTAATTCCGAGCTTACAGCCACTGCGTGCGCTTTAATCGGCGTCGGTTATTATTTATACATACAGACCGAAAGTTGAGAAAGTTAATCGCATAGAAAACTCCCACTTTCCATCTTCGCGCAGAGCAGCGCTGAGCAGCGCGTTAATACTTTCCTCCGAATTTTCGCGCTCGGTTGAATTGCGAAATGAGCGTCTACCTTCGAAGGAAGAAAATTCCTGCCGGTAAAATGCACGTTACACAAATGTGCAAGGCTTTACTTTTCAAAAGGGACGCGCGCTGTTTCTAATTAATAACGAATATTAAACAGTCGGGACAAAGAAGTTGCGCTGCCGCGCTGAGGTGAACAAACGAGGGATGAAATTGAAATTCAAATTAAAATGTACCAAGTGACAGATAAATCTCAACACAACACAAATTGAAATTTTGTTTAGTTATAAAGCAAAATCTAAGGCAGCAAGCAAGAATGCATTAAAAATTCAATCAGTCATCCTCATTGCTTTCAGGATTGACGTTCGTCAAGTGCGAATGATTGATTGTTCTATTTTCAAGCGGCGAATAAAGCAAATAGAACAAAGCACTAACGCAAACAAACATTTTTTTTTCGGCGCGGTTTATTAAACTGGATAATCATAACCTAAAAATACGTTGAACAGCGTTTATAATCGTTATCGATGTTATGTTTGCACTAACCGCACGACGTGCGACGTTTATGCGTACCAGCGATAAATAAACGCTGTGTTAATGATTCCGGCGTGATTAATTGCCCACTACTAGAACCGACAACATAACCAACTATTAAGCATGATTATAGGGAAATATTAACATTATATTTACATTAGTTTTAACAAGCAGTTGAAATCATTGATAACAATCACTTTTTTTCATATTTTCGGGGGTTTTTACCTCAAAATATTAATTTTTTTTATATTTGGGTGCAACAGGCACGTATCCTGATTATTTCTGTTTGGTTTTTAGCATTTACTAAATAGCTTCTTTTTGCACTGTGCTGCTTTTCGGTTTTCCGGTTTTATCGCGTCTGGGCCATCTCCATTCGTGAATCCTTGCGCCTGGAGCTTCGTTTAAAATAGACTCTGCGAGCTGTTTCGAGCAAAGTTCGGAGTGTGTGCTCATATTTTCGCATCCCGCGTATCTGCGAGGGTTTTACTCCTCGTCGTACCCTAGTATTCCGCGTCTGCTTTGGGCGCGTGTTTGCTCTTGTTTATATTGTTTATGTTCATATATGGATGGGCTCGGGCGCATTCTTGCAGCGCGTGCTTAAACACCTTTATGTCGCCGGCTGTGTGGGGGTGGGTTTTGTGT